TTTGATCTGGATGTAGATCAATACTGAGCAGCAATCTTTGCCTCAACATTTATTAAAATAGATGATTTCTTTAAAAGAAATTAGTTTCCATTTTTCTTCATGAAAAATTTCATCCAAACAAGACCTTACCTCAAGTTTTAACTCTGAATTCTGAATTATTTCCTTCATAGAAAATTAAATATGTAAGAAATATAAAAGCTCTTCATACACAACAGCTTGCAAACAGTTAAATGGACCCTTTAAGATGATCTCTTGGGAAATGGGCTGTGAGAGCCCCTGGAGCTGAGCTTGCTGAGTGCCTCACACAATTTGCAGATGCTCGTGGCCTCGTGCCAGTCCACAGCAAAGCCCTGGGTGACACCTCCACCTGTCCATGGCAGTTCCTGCCCTCGTGCCATCCCCAGCAAATGCTGAATGTTCTACACAGGACACGTTCTTGGCACGTCTCAGAAACTGCAACCATTCTTTAATTAAAAGGGGAATGGGAAAGGTTCTCTTGCCCAGCAAGTGAAGCCGCAGTTCTGGAGGCTGTGGCCCCTCCAAGGGAGGCAGAGCACAAATCCAGCCTTAAGGGTGCTGTGCTCTGCTCTTGCAGGAAGACACTTCTTAAAAACCAACCAACCAATCAACCAGACAGAAAAAAAGGCCAAAAAACCCTTCTGAGATTTGTACGATGGACAAATACCTCTGAGAGCATTTTGTGGTTGATTGGTGAGGCTTTAACTGCTGCTATAAAATCTGGAGTTGTGACTCTGTTTTCTCCTGTCCCACCATACAAGTGGGTCATTTCAGGCTGCTGTTGCTGGGGTTCAGGTAGTAAAAAGTTTCAAGTGATTGCTTTAAATATTCACTTCTAGAAACCTCTGATAAGACAGTCCTCATCAGAAGCAAGAAAAAGGAACTCTGGGAGGTCTCTTTTGCTGGGGTTTGGTTTGGTTTGTTTGTTGTTCCCCCAATGCTCCCTAAACTTAAAAATTAGAAGGTTTTTTGAAAGAAAAGAGAGAGGTTTTGTTGGTTTTTTGTTTTTTTTTTTTGCAGGGACCTGCAGTTCCTGACTGATTCCACTTGGGAAGAGTATGAACTCCATATGACAATGAGAGGAAGAGCAAGTACATAGGAATATTAATTGTGCGTCTTTCTTGGAAAATCTGCAACTGTGCTCTTTTGCAGGGGTTACCTATTGCTAACACAAACATCTGAGGAATATACTGAGTGGGATAAAGACTTGTTTACTTTGTGTACAGTTAGATATTCTCACCCTCTACCTAACTAAAAAATCTAGTGGTGAAAGCTTTAATTACATACTCAATTTTTAGCACAAGATAATTTTGGGTGTTATTAATTCTGAGCTTCAAAAGGAAAAAAAGGCAAATAAAACATAGAAAGAAATGCATATAAAACAGAAATCCACCAAAGGCTGTAGCTGAAACCACCCTTAACTCTGTAGTGGGAGAGCTATCAAATGATGGAAGTTTGTGGGTGTTAATCTGTGCTTGAGAAGATCTGAGACCACTTTGCTTAACTTCCCCATATTTTCATTTTCAGTAGCTTAAAGGTTTGCATATTAAACAGGTGCACATATTTAGTGTGCATTTAAATGGATTTAATAATTTGATCCAAATATTGAAAATGCCAAGTTTTAATTTGCAGAAATTTTTGTTCTATTTAAAGCTGCAATGTCTTTCAAAAGAGAAAAGAGACTCACAGACTTCCCTGTTATCCATTAATGGTGACATCAAGAAATTTGTCATTTGCTATTACAAATAACACCCTGGTGGCTCACTAGGGAGACTTTAGTATTGTATTAAATATTCCCTTTTACAAACTGCTTTTAATTAAGGGATTCCACAACTCTGAATGGGCCATATTTGTAAATAGCTGCTAATTACAGGTAATAACTTGATGACCTGTTTCACAGACCACTCTTAGGGGTGGATGCATTCCATGGGCAGATTTCTCTTTAAGCAAGCACTAAGTTTTGATTTGAATCAAAAAAGAATTTGCCTAAAAATACTAGAAAAACATTCCATTTAAAAAAAAATCCAAAATTTTACTATAAACCTGCAGGAGATATCTCACAGATTGGTAAGATGTCAAAATGATCTTTATATTAAAAATTAGTAACACAGTAAGAGCTTCATAAATGCTCTGTTAAATTATACTGACATATCAATAGAGCACCATGTGATTCCTATTTTTTAATTAAGTATTTATTGATACCAGACCCTCTCCACTTTGGGCACCCTGAAATATCCCAGTTGTTGCAACATCCTGAGCAAGTTTCAAGAACTAAACCCTGTTTCCTTCTTATACACTCAAGGTTTTCCTTTGATAGTCCCCATAATACATTTACATATATTTTTAGCAGTCCTGAAGACTGGGAAAAGCTTCAAAATCAGAAGTACAATCATCCCATTATTCTCTTCCACCCATAGGAAGAAGAAAATGGGGTTTGAGCTGTTCTGAGCAGCTCAGAGGAAAGCAGCCAGTCCTGTGTGCCCACACACATTTTAAGCACAGAGCTGGGGAGCAGCCCTAGGTGAGAATTTTGCAACTGGGATTTTCTTTAAAAATGCCAATTCACAAAACCATCCCCCATTTCTATGAAATTTGGATTAGGAAGGGTTTTCCAAGTTCTTGAATATGAGCAACCCACTGTAAATACCCCATTTAAAAATAAAAACCATGGGGGTTTTACTTGATGGGTTTTTTTCACTGCCATTCATAAATTTGTGTCTTTGTATGAATAAATCAAAACTTTCCTTAAGTGTTATAATTTCTGATTTAATACCAGCAGACATTCTGCTGTGGTAATAAAACACCAACAGTCCAGAATAAGCATTTTAAAATCCCAATCTCTAATTGCCCTCTGCCGTGGAGATCCTTATCTCTGGGAAGTTTAAATCAATCACCTGGCTTTTATTTTAGTGAAGAAACTTGGCTATAACCACGAGGAGCTCTGGACACCTGTTTTATTTCTCCAAATGAAAGGTGACAAAGGCTGGAGCAGATTTTGCTTTCTCCTATTAATTAACTTCAGCCCATAAACGAGTGAGGCCCTTGTTAAGGCACAATAAAATCTAATTTTTGCTTTGCTGCAGTGGAGAGTAGAGAGCGAAGATAAATTGTCTATTTAAATTTTATTAGATCTTTCCTCCCAGAGTGCTGGCTGCAGCATGTTAAGGAAACATTTCCCACAGCACAATGAGCTGCTCCCATTTTCCTGCTTAAATGGAGAAATTCTATCCCAGGCAATCATTCCCTGGATGAAAAGCTGCTTTGGGATTTGGGGGTTTTGTGTCCTGCTCAGTGTGGAAATGAGAGAACCCGGGCTCAGGAACCTCCATGGCTTCACTTCCCCTGATCCTGCTCCTGCCCTGGAATAGTTGGGGCTGTTGGGGTGAAAGTTCTCAGGCCAAACTTCCCAAGACAAAAATAGGAAAATACAGAAAAATCTCCAAGAAGCAACTGCCAAAGTTGGAACCTAAATAGCTTTAGCAAAAATGAAGTTTCTCTTTAAATCCAACAAACCTTCTGGTGCTGTCCTCTGCTCTTGCTTGAAAATGCTTTAAAAACCAACCAACCAATCAACCAGACATGAAAAAAGCAAAAATACCCTTCAGAGATCTGTCTGATGGACAAATACTTCTGAGACTATTTGTGGTTGCTTGATAAGATTTTAATTGCTGGTATAAAAGTCATGTTTCAATGTTTGGTGTGCAAATACTGATGGGGTTTGCACTCAAACAGAATGGAAAGGTCAAGCTTCCTTTTTCTTGCAGGAGTTTTGGAATTTTATCCCCTTCTCTTGTCTGCCTTTTCTCTGTCTGCCTTCCCCTTCTCTGTTGGCCAGACAGATAAGAGCAGCTTCTTCTCTGTTTGGCCAACTACTAAAACTTGCATAAGGAATATACCCAATTATCTTCTGAAGTGTGTGACAGGCTTGTAAACTGAGTTCTACACATTTAAATATTCTTTAAATGCTGTAATAAAAAATAGCTGCTCACAGTCCTGAATAAATAAAAATCTAGAAACAGAGTTAGATCTTTCTGAGCAACTGGAATTTTTCTGTTACTGAAGCAGCCCTTCCTTATCAGCTGCCTCAAAGACTTTTCATCCACTTCAGTACTTATTCAGTAGAAATTTTGCAGTATTTCTTCAGCAGATATGTTGCATCTTAAACCAAACTGTGTCAGGATATTAGGATTCAGAAATCTGTTCCTTCTAAAAAATTTGTTACACTGATTTTGCTGTTTCAATGCTGTCCTTTAACTTGTCTAGGTCCCTCCTGCTTCAATGCTTTCCTGCCAGTGTATTTAGAGGTAATAAATCTACATCTAAAAAAGACAGAGATAATAAATCTAAATAGGATAGAGATAAGAAATATAAAGCTAAATAAGACAGATATATCTGAAACTAAAAAAAAAAAAAAAAATAGAGAGAATAAACTTAAAGAAATCTTTCATCTTTCATGTAAAGTTTAAGCCTGGCATCATAAACTAGATTTCCTGTTTCTTGTTCCTTGTGTTTCCTGGGCTAGTTACAGAGTCTTCCTGGTAGAATGATCTGGTATCTGAAAAGCTCTAGAATCATTAAAAGTCTGTATTTTAGAAGCAGTAGAAAATAAAACCTGAAAAAAAGAAAACCTGACAGAGAGCCCTCAAATAAAATTAAAATCTCCTCACACTGGGTAAAAAATGACCCTAAATTCCTGCCCTCACTGTGAGTTAGCAAAGAGCCAAAGAGAGAACAACTCCTGGGGAGCATCTACTGTACACAAAGTAATCATGTCACGGGGTTTGGAGCTGGCTCAGGTGGGAGCAGAGCCTGGGGAGGGGCAGAGGAGCTGAGTCTGAGGCGACTCTGGCTAAGTTGGCATCTCTGAGGGTCGGGTGCAGTAAGAATTCACACTCACGCCCAGCCGCAGCAGCAGAGGTGCTGGTAGGAGAGGAAAGAGCATTGGATAACGATACGTGACTAGGGCTAGAAATATTGGTTACATCCTGGGTCTGGCTTGTGACGGAGGACTGTCTCCTGAGAGCCCCCTGAAAGGAAGTGCCACTCTTGAAAGTATTGACTACTTCGATCTGTAACGGAGGAAAGAACGAGACAAGTTGCTTAAAGTATGGATACAGTTGCATAACTGACAGGAATAATCATGAAAAACAACAAATCAACCGTGCACGCGCTTCTACTCCCGTTGGAAACGAGGTGCCCCTTTCCAGGGTTTTTAGAAATTATTCAAATTTTCTGGCTGGATAAAATGAGGCAGCTCCGTAGGAGGCGGGGGAGCTGCATCACTTTAAACAAGTAGAAGATTTGAAATAACAGGTTTTTTAAAGTTTAAACCATTTTATTTAGAGGTAAATAAAATCAGCTGGAATACCTGATGTAACTAATCTCCACTCTTTTTTTCCTACTGAGATTCAAATTATGCTGTTATGTATCTCCAGGGGGAGAAAAATTCAGTCACTCAATTGGAATTTGGGGGATGGGGTCAGGGATGACACTCAACCAAAACAGAAAAATTTTAAAATTCAATATAAGACTCTATTTTTCTACAAACCCAGGGCTGTCAGTACACTAGTTTGATAAAATAATTATTCCACTATTTTATCTGACTTTTTCTGTAATGAAAATTTGTAAGAATTTAGCATAGTGATAAAGAATGTTGGGGTTTTGTAACTGGAGATTTAAAAGTGTTAATATTTTATCTTTATACAGAGCGCTTAAAAGCACACAGAAAATGATGTGGAACTGGATTGACTACTGCAGCAAAAACATCACAATTTTCCACTTATTTTCATATGCCTGCTGTATTCCCTGTTTGACAGACCCAGACTGAGCACCTTCCTTTTACTCCCCACCACAGAGGATGAGTTAAAAACAGAGCTGAGTATTTGAAGGCATCCTTTGGCACCAGTATAAACCCATTAAAAGCAGGCTCTGGGTACAGAGAGAAAGCCAGGAGTAAATCCCACAAATCCCTACACCCCAAAATGTCCTCTGCGCTGCATGGGTGCAACCACAACTGCAGAACATCCACGGGAGGAATTCAAACAAATACTTGTGTGAAGCAACCCACTGTTACCAGACCACACAACCCACATCTCTGGAGATTCCCAGCCTAGAAAGTGGTAAATTGGTGGCATTTTTATCAATTTAAACAGCACAAATCTTGGTGCAAACCCTCCTGAATTTTCCAAGTGGGAAGCACTAGAATGAATTTATGATTTTCTGCTGTGGTCAGATTTAGGACTAAATGAATGTGTAGGGCTGCATCATTAATAATATGGATATTTTCCCTCAATTAATCTTGTCTTTGGCCATCATTGTTTATTTTCCTGCTTGTTTTTATGGGAATAATCAACCACAGACAGCTGGAAAAGGGATCCCAGGTTACTGTTGTGCAATTATCTCAGTGAATTTTCCTCCACAAAGCCCAGGTTTGTTCTGTCTGAGCCCTGGTACCATTTCTCTGTGCACTCCCAGGACTGGGCAGTGTTCAGCAGTCCCCACAACGTTGGAGAGCTTTGTTTTTGGCAGCAGAATTACATGTCCAGTGCAAATCTCACAGTGAATCAAAGGTAAATCACAGTAAATAAAATGTGAGGTGAGTTTGCACATGGGGCAGGGCACGAGGGGATCGTCAGCTCAGGCTCATGGAAACACCACATGGCTCAAAGCACTGGTGACGTGGCACATTAAATACTCACCTGGAATGCTCTACAAAAGTAGAATTAAATACAGATCTTGGGTTCTCAGGGTCTAACCCAGGGGACAGAGCACTCTTCAAGAGAGACCATTCAAAAAAGACTCTAAAGACTCTCACTGAGGCATGAAATGAGTATTTCTGTGATAAATCCTGAGATGTGCAAAAGCCTTCCTAACAAACTGAGAGCCTTTGGTACAAGAATGAAAAGATGAGGGAAGATCTGTATTTAATGGTTTCTTCAGAGAAGAAGAATTACAGCCATGTAATTTGCTTTTCTCCTGAAGAAATGAACTCCAGCTGTTCATGGATATAATTCCTGGTGGGAGGATGACAACCTCCCCAGAATCCTAAAAGCTGAACATACAGGGCTGTGCTCTGCCTGAAGCCAAGAAAGAAGAGATAAACTTGGCCCAAAAGTTTGTCTTCTCCAAGCAGAAAATAACAAAGAAGAAAAGTCCTCATGGAAATAAATAGTGCATTTTGAATTAAGATGGAACCTTTCCATGACAAAGGAATGCATTTATTTAGAACAATTCAAGCTGCTAAAGAGGAAAAAGGAAACAAAAGCTCATAAGTTAAAAAAATTCCAACACAATATAGGATTCAATCATGTTTTGATTATAGGCCTTCAGGTAGAGGAAAAATACTGTCCTACAGTATTTTTGAAGCTTATCCATAAGGTTGATATTTTTGAAGCTTATCCATAAGGTTGATATTTTTCACACCTGTCTCGTTTTTCTCTATGTTCTATACTCTAGAAGATCCAATTTTTTTGTGTGCAGAGCAAATAAAAATATCAGTGATTAGCAATTAAAAAAAAAATTTAAAATCTGATAGTAGCAGAATAGTCCTTAGAATAGTAGGCAGAACAGGTACTTCTTCCTGATTTTTAACATGGAACAGATTTTCAGAAGCATTTCTGTTGTCATTTATGTAAGTAGAACCCAGGTCTCATTCCTCTAATCTCTAAGCAGGATATTAATTTAAAGAAAAAAAAAGAAAAAAAAACAAACAAAACCCCAAAACTAAAAAAAAAACCCCACCTTTCTGTAAGAAATAAAACAGTTTCCATTCCACTTACATGGGGCTACCACAATGTTTTCTATATTGAAAGCTACGTGGAAACCATAAAATGAGGTCCTGGTTTTTCATCCAACTTCAGAACCTCTTCCAGGAGTGACTTTCACTGCTGGAAGGTTTGAATTGGTTCAAAAGAAAAGTTTTCATATTTTCTACATGACAAATAAAGGATGAAAAATGCAGTGCAGCACCTCTCTGTGTCTTTTTTATCATCTGAAGAGAAACAATCTTTAAGTAGCAGTTACCCTGTCACCTGTATTTTTTTCAGCTTTTTCTTTTATTTTCAGCACATTCCAGGCAGTTGTTTCCCACCTGGGGCAGATAAAACAAACTGAATTTCAGGATGAATGAAGCAGAAGAGGAAAGAGTCAGGCTGGGTGTGTAAAATTCTGATAAACATAAGAAGTTTTTGAATCTCCTCACTTCAGAACGTTTCCATTCTCAGATATGAAGGAACTGGAGAATCTTTCAATAGACAATTAAAAGAGGTGAGATGCGTATTTTTTCTCTGTTTTTTTACTCAGATTATGAAGTCTGGCCTGAAGGTGAACTTGGTGAACTTCCCAAAGGCTGTTAGACCTGCCAAGAGGGTGTGATCAGTCTTGTCTTCCTTCTGAATGAAGAATTTCTCAGAACGGCAACAAAAACTTGGAAAAGCATGGAGAAAACTGTTGGAAAGTCCTGTCTCTATGCAATTTCAGACCCCTTTTAGATCCTCCTCAAACTTGCATATCTATGATAAGCCATTTGTGAAGCTTCACCCCTTAGTGTTCATCTGAGAGAGCCTTCCAGGAAGGAAACCCTTCCATTCAGAGAAGGGGAGCACACATCCATCCAGAGATTCCCTATTGTGTATTTTGTTCCAAATGAACAAAAGGAAGCCAGAAAGAGCATCATAAGTCGATAGCCAGTCTCTGGCTCAGTTATGTGCATTTTTCATACATCTTCTCATTGTATGAAATGAAAAAAAATTAATTCCAAAAAATTAATTTAAATTTATGTGTGTTTTTTATAGAAACAGAAAATTCCCAGTGGAAATCCCTCCTCTGGTGTCTTGGGTTGAACTCTCTGTTTGAGAGAGGATGTAGATGAAAAAAATCTCTTTAACACTGCAAAATCCCTTTGACTGTGTTGTCAGCTTGGATGAGTTTAAAAGGGAGCACTCCAAGAAGAGTTGATTGTCTGAAAACAGCACCCAGCCTGTTGTAGTTCTTTATTTCAGCAGTGAAGGCTTTGCTGGGAGTTGGGGCCGCCTGTCCAAGAGAGACTGAAGAGAAAATAAGGGCAAATAACCCAATTTACAGAACAAGTGTGGAACCTGGTGTTGTTAGAATTGAATGACCAATCTGGTCCTGAGCCCAGAGTTTCATCCTGGTCTGCCATCCCCAGAGATATAAAATGAGGGGATGCTCTACCTTCTTCCTCCACATCTCCAGGAGTGCATTAAACAACAGAGGATTCCTGCAAATCCTGCCAGGGTTGCTGAAGATATTCCAGTAATTTCCAGGAGCTCTCCTTTTGCTGACCTCCTGAGAAATGTGTTATAAGGGAATAAATCCACCTGGATGGGCCCCCTCCAGCAGGGATCAAATTTGACCTAAGTCCATCCCTCTCCACTGCACACCTGGGCACTGCTTTGGAATCTGTTGGCCCATTTTCTTTCTTTTTGTCTTTTTTTTTTCTCATTCCACAGATGTGAAATGGATGCAAAAAAAAAAAAAAATCAAAGTCATTGAGTAAATAAAATGACAAGAAAAATCACGGAGGTCTCTTGGCAGAGAGGAGGGAGACATCCTACTAGAGGTGCTTCTACAACTAAGAGCAGAAAGGAAAACAAGATGGATGTTAGCAAAGAGACATAATTCATGTTCATTTGGGTTTAAGTAGTGGAAAAGAATCATTTATCTGTGAATTAAGTGGACAAAGAGATGCAGAACTAAAAGCTACCTCTCAGACTAGAAAGAGAACTGGAAGGATGTCATTTGCTTTGTGTTGCTTGAAGTTGTTTACACTCACCCCAACCAGAAAGACATCCTGACAGAAGTGCCAACAGGCAACACTCCTCCTACAGCCACCAGGGAGAAAAGAATGCACATTTAGAGGTCATCTTTCCCCGAAGATCACCAGTACCTGGGCACTTTTTATCACAACTGAAATTTGAATTTTCTCTAGTGATGAGTGCTCTTGACTCAATGGAGTCAAGACACACAAGCTCAGAGCTGAAGATCCGTATTTAATCACTTACCACAGAACCCTGGGAATTCCCCAGCTCTTAATCTCTATACATTGTATGCTCTGCAGATGCAGCCAAGAGACCTCACTGCCCTAATGTGACTTCTTTCCATAATTTTTTTTCTAAATTCATGGCTGCATCTTCCCCCCTCCCAAAAAAAAAGGTTCAGTTTGTAGATGTGAAAGAGCAGACTATGCTGTTTATCTTGGATGGAGATGAAAACCCCAAATCTTCTGAGAGAAAAATCTTCTTTAGAAGATTCTTTTAAGAAAAAAAAAAAAAAGATCATTTTCTTAATAATTCACCTCTTTTTCTTGTCAGGCTCATGTAAAACACGCACATCTGATGTGGTGATATCTGTTCTCTGCTGCAAGCTGGCAGAAATACTTGATCTTAGAAAGATCAAGCAGAGCACACCTGAGTGCAATGAAACACTTCACTGCAATGGAAAAGGCAAAATACTTCACATGATTTTCTTCAGCACTCCAGGACAAATTTCACAGCTCCTTAACCTGCACTATATTTAGCACCATGATTCAGTGCAAAGGTCTGGTATATTAAAAAATGCCGTGGATTTTTGTGTTTAGCAAAAGTTGGGGAGAGATATTTCTTAGGAATCATTCCTAATAGCCAACTCTTACACCTCAATATTTAATGGCTGCTTAATTCCTACTAAAATCCAGAACCACATTTTTCATTACCTAATGGGAAATAAAATCAATCCCTTTTAATCGTGATCAATGCGTGGCAGTGCCAGAACTGATTTTTTTAAAAATCAAATTTACATCATACTTCAGACTCAATTTCAATTATTCTGTTAGTGCAGCAATGGCAGCAACAATGTATTTTTTTTTTTTGAGCAAATCAAGCAATACATTTTAGAAAGCTTTCATAACATTCTGCGAGCTGACGTTGGCCAAGCAGCACAATTTTATGAGCTGTCATCACTCTAGGAGAAAAAGAACATCCAGTCACGGTATTCCCAAATCACAGATCCCTGGTTTGGCATTTGATCATTTTATATCTTTTCAGTTTATCTCTTCTGCTGTACACACCCCCTTTGCTCAGTTTCCCTACTTTGTTTTTCATGTTTTTCCTTCAGAGCAATTAACCAGTGCCATCCTCCACACACACAAACACTCCATGGCTTTCCTGTTAACGTTATCTTGCCTTGATCTCACATTAATCAGTTCTTTGGGTGTTTCTAGACCTTGTGGGCATTTATTTTTAGCATACCTGTGTCTGGATTCTGTTGAGGCCTCGGAACCAGAGGATTTGTCCACGTCGGAGTTCTCTCTCTGCATGATCTATTTCTTCAACATCTTCATTGAGCTCCTCCTCAGGGACCTCCTCCTTCTCAGTGAGCCTCCCTGCCTCCTTTAAAAACTTTAGCCTACTTGTTGGGATGGTTGCAATGACCTAAAATTATAAAAAAGTACTGAAAACATAAGCCTCATTCAGGAGCAACAGTATAACAATCTGCTAATTACAGAAAAGCAATCATATTTTAGTAAGGTCTATAAAGGTGAGCCAAGCCTGTTCCTAACAGCACTTTGCACCTGGACAACTCCATTTTAGTCTCAAAAATATTTAATTTATTGTGTAAACAATTAGCATGACTTGCGCCACTAAACCTCAGTGTGGAGCAGATTTAAGGCTGGGAAAAGTCTTATCAATAAAAGAAATTGAAAATAAAACAAGATGGAAATATTTCAATGTAATTATGTAAAGAAAACTTAAGCAGATAGATAGCTCTGCAATTCAAGTTTGGGTATTTGTATGGCAATGGGAGGTGAAAATTCATTGTATCTCATGCTGATAAATCTTCTCACACTCCCTCGGTTCATGGATTCAGCTTCCCCTTGTTCCAGCAGCTGGAATGCTTTTCTGGCATTTATCAAAATTGAGTTTTCTGAAAGGTGTGGATCTGGTTGTTGGATTTCTCATAGGACTGTCTCTCACTCTGTGTCCTTGCCACAAATAAATTCTGATTAACTTAACCCCTCTTCTCATTCTGCTTGCCCACCCAAGTGGTCCTTGGAAATAACTAATGCAGGAGAATAATCTTTAAAAATTGCAGATACTGTAGCTGGACAATTATCTTAAATCCATTTCAGGGTTACCCTGTTGGGCAGTCATTTTCTCTTTGTTCTGATTCCTTGCATAAAACCAGGAGCAAATCATGGCAATTTGAACAAGACATTACCTGGAGCACACTGAATGCTTAAAGCAAATCTCCTGCAAAGCAAATTTTTAAACCCACTTAGCAAAAACTGCTGCAATTTTCTTTTTTGTCTTCATTTCAGCAGCGAGCAACCACAACTGTGAAGCTCAGATGGATGAAAATGAAGAGAGAACCAAGAGAGCTGCCAGAAAATTGGTGAGGAGAGCTTTGGAAAACTGGAATGGATGCAGTGGAGACACATGGAAATGTTCTGGATATTTTCAGGGTGGAAGCAAATCTTTGAGTTTGCTGAGGGTCTCCTTGAGCTTCACAATCCACAAGGTCAGTTTTATCATAATGTTTTAAAGACAGATTGAAAAAAACCCAAAAAAACCAACAAAATAATCAAACCCAGTTTCTACACTACTATAAAACCTTTTTAAAGGGGGTTGAAAAACAAGATGCAAACCTGGAAAATTAATGGTGTGGCACAAGCAAAGACAGAACAGGAGAGAAAAAGAAAGGGGAAATGCTCATCAATTAAATACTTACTGAAAGTCCTTCAGCCTCCCAGCTTTCAAACTACAATGCCAGCACTCTACAGAGAGAAACTACTGGAAACTCTGGGATCTGATGAAAGTGATGGTGATAAAGGATTTTTAAATGAAAATATTCATAAAAATAACTCTACTGGGTCAGAACTGTGTGTGACAGAACGTTCCTCTCTTGCAGCACCTCAGCCAAGCTGATGAGACTCTGCTCTAATTCTTTCCTTAAAGTTTCCTTAATGGCTTTTTTTATTATTCATTTATTTTCTGTATCTGCTAACACCCACCCAGTTCAGGACACAGACTCGATAGATGCAGATTAAAGAACAAAATATTATTCCCAGAAAAATTATCACAGTTTTAATAAGTTATCAATAATTCTGGGAATGGGATAGGAAATTCTTTAGAAAGTCTTGTTTTTCTGAAGGGATGGGAGCTGTTAGAAAACTGTCCCTCCAAGCACACCAAATTGACTTGCTGGGAACTTCTTAAATTCCTTTCAGAAGTGCCTGCTCTGACACCCAAACTTGGAAATCTTGACTGCCTTTCGTGGCTCACCAGAACAGCAGGTTCAGCACGTGGATTAAAAGAAAAATAAGAATAACAGATTTGGTTTGTGCTGAATTAGAATGAGTCAGAGCAGCAGAGAAAAGGCTGAGACAGAAGAGAAGCATCACTGCTAAAGGAAAAGAATTCTCCCTCACTGAAGAGCTCCCTGAAGAAAGACCTTGCCACAGACTGTAAATCATGTAAATATGGACATAATTGATTGGTTTTAGCATCCTATTTTCTCTTCTTGTCACTAAATATTGACCACAGGAGAGATATTTTCTTCCCTCAGTATTTGCTTTCTTCCCAGTGCTAAAACTGTGGAGGTGTTCCAATACCAGTTTTAATTTAATGTCTAAGGTCTCACAATAAACCTGGGGCAAGTAAAGTGGAAAAAAAAAGCTGATATTAGTATTCGTTCTTGGTGGTTATGTAATAACCATGGATAACAAAATTTAGAGGCCAAAAATCAAAGGCTGTGGGAAATTTTCACAGCTGAATGAAGCAGTTTGGATTCTTCTCTCTCTCCCTGTTTGACTTCCCCTTTCTCCAAAGGTTAGTATACTTTCCAAACAGTAGGAAAAAAACCCCAATAAATCTTTCCTTTCTGAGATTATCAAACTGATTTTAGGTCTTCCTCCTGCAAGGCCTTAAGTCAAATCCCAACCTCAAGTAATAATTACAGCAGAATCATTTAATAGTGATGATATGCATTAAAATGCAGATATGCATTAAAAGCTGTTCTGATTCTGAGCTTTTTCTAAGGAAAACTGAGGCCAAACTTTCAAAAAAAGTTGGGTTTTTGCCCCCAGAAGAGAACAAATAATCAGAATTGAAAGCAAGCATTTATTCACTTCAATTCCAGTAGAACCACAGAAGAATTAAATTGCAGAGGGCAATTTCTTGACTCTTCATAGAGGCAAACTGTAGATCTACAAATCTCTTTACATCTGAGAGAAAAAAATGTAACTTCATATTTTCTTTACTGCACAAGGTGGCAACAATTTAAATACCTTTTTAGTGCATTCAGAGGTGAAAAATTATTATTATTATTATTATTATTATGAACTTGGCAACCTGTGTTTGCACATAAAAGAGCAATGTAGAATGTTAACAATACTGATTGTGTGTGTGTATATCACTTCCAGAGAGTTATTCCAAATTTATTTAATGTGATCTCATTGACATTTTTTCTTCATCAACGTATAATTCTATATTAGCCAATGATGACAGAGGATATGGCAGAAATTGAAAAGGAGATGTTAATTTAACTGCTATTTTCTACAACTATTAAATGCAAAAAAATTCTCTTTTTCCTTCACACACAGAATTAGATGGATGGAGAATCACAGCAGAAATATTTTAAAGGCACTGGAATTTTTCCTATGACAGTAGCCAGAATGACAATTCCAGTAGGGGAATGAGTTGGTTGACCTAGAACTGGAACTTCATTTCAGCTCCAAAACTTTGCCACATCCTACAGGAGGAATTCTATTCCAGGAAAGGTCACAATGCATTTGCCTTTGCTGCATTTTTTTGTGACTAAAAGACAAGTTGTGACTCAACACCCTTCACAAAAAAGCCTAACTGAAGATGCCCCTGGTGACTGCACACCCTCCTAGAAAGGAAAGATTTGAAAATTAATAAAAAACCCCAAAGGAACAGAGGGATAAATTATCCTTACTAATAAATCTCTCCTTGAAGCTCTCAGAGAGCTCCTTGGGTTTCAGTGAGGGCTGCACTGGGCACTGAGAAAGGAAATCACAGGAATATCCACAATATCACACCTCTGAATGTGCAGCTCCTGAATGCTTACCTGACCCCACACCAGCTCTCCTAAGCCAATAAATACACACCACATCCACTGGTCCAGCTGCAGGGGAGAACAGCTGAATGGTTTTCCTCCAAACTGGACAATTACTATCTATAAAGAGAAGCATGAGGGAAAAGGGGTCAATTTTTTTTCAGGGGGAAAAGGCAACAAAACAAAAACAAACACAGCCAGACAAAAAAATAAAAGAAATAAAAATAATAATTAAAAAAAAAACAACCTGCATAATTTTGATCCCAAAAAAACCCATCAAACCCCACAAACTTCTGCATCCCAAATTAAAAGTGTGGAAAACAAACAGAAGAAATAGCAGTTCAGACTGGAGTTCCTCAGCCTCATATTTAACAGTGGTCAGATATGAATAGTCAGGAAAAAAGGGAACAGGACAGTCCCTGTGTGCTCTCCCAGCTCCTGGTTTATGGACCCTGATCCAGTTCATTTTGGAATGTCCATTGCAAGAGAGGCTCCTCCCTCTGAGTAACATTTTATTGTGTATTTACAGATGTGCTTCATGGAGGGACAGAGGGGACAGAAAACTCTAGATCTGTTGGAGGAAGGGGGTGGGAGAACCCCACACTTTCAGCAGGATAACAACACACAGAGTGAGCAGACTGAGAAGGTTTTGCTAACTGCAAATCTGGTATTATTGATATTTCTTTTTAATATTGCTGCTGCAAAATCAGGGACCTGAAATGGCATCCAGAGGTTTAAATTGTCCAAGTTTTAAACTCATGATTTTGAATTAGATGTTAAAAAGCATCACTGTGAAGTTCTGCTCCCATCACTGCTGCCCTTCCTCCAATATTCAGTTTATTGAGGAGTTTCCCTTTTCAAATCTCTGTAGCCCAAGCTCAAACTGCTCTTTCCTCCTCCTTCCTCCTCCCAGGAAAAGGTGCCAATGCTGAGCTGCCACTGCAGAGCTGAGCAATAACGACAAGATAAAAATAGATTTCTAAGTGATAATATCAAACACTATCAAGTACAGGATGGATGCCAGCAAAAGAATGGATGCAGGGGCAGAAGGATGAATTCCTATAGAAGAAAAATTTGGGGAAAATGTGTATTATTGTGATCATGTTCACTTGTGATGGGACAGCAAACTCAGGAGAGGAACATGAGGAATCACAATCCAGGGGCATCGTTGCTGGGAATACTGAGCAGCATTGGACAGTGGCATTGAACAGAAGAACAGCTCAGCATCAGCTGTTTGAAGGTATATTTGTCTTTTCAAGGAGTAATAAATAATTGTAAAATGCTTTGCTGGTATGCTATTAAACAATTTCTTCTGTAAAAACCAGTTACAATATCAATGATGGCTGTTATTATTGTACATGCTAAGATTAATTTAAGAATTAACCCAGTTATAAGGATCAAAATTTCTGTTTTATTAGCATGGCTACATAACGTTTTCCATTATTAACACTTGTGCTGATTGAGAAAATACAACCAACCAGGTGATTTACTCTTAAATGGGCTTCCTGCAGCACTTAGATTAAAATTAAAGAAAAAAAAAAGAAAACACAGAGAAGAAAACCCCAAACAACTTTGTGTTTGATTTTTTTTGAGTAGGTTTGTGACAATTTGAGTGATGATTTGTGATGAACAGTAAGTGATTCTTGGCCAGAGCTTTACCTGAATAGCGAAGGTGCCCAGGACAATAGTGCAAAAAATGGGGTTTCTGAAGATGCCGTCAAAGACGTTCCTCTCGCCGTGGATCTTGCGGGCGTTGATCTCGTTGAAAAGCTGCATCATGACAAAGGTGTTGAAGATGATGGTGTAGTGCTCGGAAGGAGGAGAGTGAAGAGGGGCGTTCCTCCCACTGTCAATCTTAAACATTTTCTCACCTAGGCATAAGACAAAAATAAAAGTTTTCTCCAGAATGAATCAAACCAATTTATATTCCACTCGTATTCTTCAGCCTTCGCTTGCTCTGCTTTTTCTAGATAAAACCTTTCTTGGACCAATGAGCAAAACATATCTCCACTGAGGAAGAAGCTGTTCAAATGCTGACTTTTATCTAACAATACCTAACTCCTATCTGACAACACCTACACAATGTTGTCAGTCCTTCTTACCTACCCAAGTAGGAATTACTCTAAGCACTCAATTCTTTCAGGTGCAAAAAAATCTTAAGGTCATTGCAAGAGTGTTTGAATCTTCTACAGTGGTTAGAAGACACTCCTCTTCATCAGGTTTTACCCGTTTACTAATCCAGTAACTTCTGCCAGGCATTGAAGGATATCAGTCAAAAAAGACACAGACATTCCTGGTTTTAAAGAGATTTGGGGCTGAGCAGCAGCAGGCACTCCTGTTTAGTTTGATAATTTGGATTTCACTCATAGATCTGACCAATTTTAAAGCAAGATACAACTCATAATGAGTAACTAAAAATGTGGTAAGCTTTGAAAAAATAAAGTTAAGATTTATTTTTTTTTTTATAACACAGCCTGACAGGACCAGACAGTGAATTCTGGATTTCTGATGTCTCAAAGACATTTACGTTTTGTATGTTCAAACACAATGTATTTCTAAAAATAAAAAATAGAAAAAATTGATGTGCTGGTCTCTGAAGAAACCTCCTACAAAAGAAAGGAAGTATTATTTGACCAAAATAGAAATAATTCTCATTAATTCAAAATTTAATTATGGAGGTACTGAGTTTTGCACATCATGTCACTGCAAAGCTGAGCCTTGTGGAGTTTAGAAAGGAAAAGATTATTTCCAAGGCTTATCAGAAAATTGTCTGGGATGTGTCCTTCAAAGTATGCAGGAGTTTTCCAAAGACACACAGGAGCAATTAGAATAGGGGGGGAAAGCCTGGTTTGCTTTTCATCTGGTTCAGTATAAAGTATTTTAAACCATAAAATTCATCAAAAAGCCATTCTAACTCCCCATAAAGTTCACAGAAGTTCTTGTTCCAAGATGCATATCACATGAATTACCAAGAGTTTCTTCACCCGTTTTAGAGAAACTGAAATTCCAATTTCCTAATGCAGGCATTCTCAAAATTCCCTGTAAATCTAACAACGTTAGAGACCACCTCTCTTCAGAAACCTGGCAATATTTTTGGTTTAACTCCATTATGAACAGATCATTGCCTCCTCTGAGCATCCCAGATAAGCTGCCAGATGGCCATAAAGTGGGCAAGGCTTTCAGAATGGAGCTCAAAAACCTCCTAAAATAATAAATTTACATTTGCAGCTTCTCTGGAAGTCTGTGTATAAGGAAAAAAAAAAAGAAAAGACAACACATGTGATTTAACAGTGACTACGAAGTGACAAGAAGACAATACCCAGCTGAAAAAAAATCATCTGTCCTTTGAGAGGGTTCAGTTATTATTGTGGAGGAACAGAATCTATTATTAGCTCCTACTATTCCCTGCAGCAAGAAACATTTCTCCTCCTTCCCTCCCCTCTCCAAAATACAACCTATAAAAAGCATCCATTGCCAGCAAGGCCTGAAGAAGAATCCAGTAATGCAATAAATTAGACTTTTCGCCCCCTTTTAATATCCATTCCAGAAATTAAATGTCAAAGCAGAGTGTTATTTGTATCACTTAACACTGATTACTTATTTTCCATACCACTTAATAAAAAGCCCATCCAACCCCCCATTAAGTTCACAGAAGTTCTTGTTCCAAGATGCATATCACATGAATTACCAAGAGTTTCTTCACCCGTTTTAGAGAAACTGAAATTCCAATTTCCTAATGCAGGCATTCTCAAAATTCCCTGTAAATCTAACAACGTTAGAGACCACCTCTCTTCAGAAACCTGGCAATATTTTTGGTTTAACTCCATTATGAACAGATCATTGCCTCCTCTGAGCATCCCAGATAAGCTGCCAGATGGCCATAAAGTGGGCAAGGCTTTCAGAATGGAGCTCAAAAACCTCCTAAAATAATAAATTTACATTTGCAGCTTCTCTGGAAGTCTGTGTATAAGGAAAAAAAAAAACCTGAAAGACAACACATGTGATTTAACAGCGACTACAAAGTGACAAGAAGACAATACCCAGCTGAAAAAAAATCATCTGTCCTTTGAGAGGGTTCAGTTATTATTGTGGAGGAACAGAATCTATTATTAGCTCCTACTATTCCCTGCAGCAAGAAACATTTCTCCTCCTTCCCTCCCCTCTCCAAAATACAACCTATAAAAAGCATCCATTGCCAGCAAGGCCTGAAGAAGAATCCAGTAATGCAATAAATTAGACTTTTCGCCCCCTTTTAATATCCATTCCAGAAATTAAATGTCAAAGCAGAGTGTTATTTGTATCACTTAACACTGATTACTTATTTTCCATACCACTTAAGATCAACATTATTTCTGGACTGTGCACAACACTTTGCTCTTGGTAAAATGGATCTTGATTTTTATTGTGGTTTGTTTTGTGGGGTTTCTAAAATTTGTTTTTATGTCCCTACTCACCACAACAAGCCTCACAATGAAATCTCAGTATAGAAGCAGCAGGATGGACTCTCCTATTACAGCATAACCTTCTGTGCTGTGTTTGGATACAAACTTTTACCAAAGCCCAAACCTGTATTTTACGAGGGGAAAAAAGCTCAATGAGGCCATTCCCAAGGTAACAATATATGGAAAGTGACCACAACATGCACCTTCTGTGCTTCCCATCCCATCAACAAGGATTCATAGGATCACAGAGTGACTGGGTTGGAAGAGACCTTCAAGATCATTGAGTCCAGTGCAGTCCTAACACCTCAACTAAATCCTGGCACCAGTCTCTTTTTAAACACATCTGGGGATGGTGACTCCACCACCTCCCGGGACAGATCATTCCAGAACTGTATCACTCTTTCTGTAAAAAACTTTTTCCTAATATCCAAAAAAAAGTTTCAAGATAACAAAGGCAGGCAATAAGCGCGCATTAACTCGTTACATTTAAAGCATTTTGACACTTCAGCCATACAACCCAGCTGCTCGTGTGCTGAGCACCGAGTCTGGGCAGCTTCTCACCGACAAAGAGCAGGGTGAAGATGAGGGTGAGCTGGTAGACGGCGTGGCCCAGGATGTTTTTCATCATGGTGCGGGAGATGAGCGGCTTGTTGCGGCCGTAGGGTTTGCGCAGCAGCAGCGCCTCGGTCGGCGGCTCCGTGGCCAGCGCCAGCGAGGCGAACGTGTCCATGATCAGGTTCACCCACAGCATCTGCACGGCCTTCAGGGGAGAGTCCTGAGGGGAAAAATCAGGAAGGTTTGTATTTCCCAGGAAAAGCCTGGCTGGGGGTTCATTTTTCTCAAGGGATTCAGAAGTTCCCACACTGAGGACCCTTCTTGCGCTTCTGGGACCCTTCTTCCATTCCTTCTGCAGGACCAGGAGCACAATGGTCTGAGCAGAGAGAAATTATCTACCTGCAGGCATTTAATCAACACCATTTGCAACCACAAAACTCATACCAAGCATGACAGTAACTCCTTCTAACTCCTATTACAATGCTCTCCGTTCCTTCATGCATCATTGCTTGAATTTTCAGCTGAATTTAGATAATACAACTAGAGAATCCAAGTTTCTCTTGTGGAGGAAAAATTATATTGAAACAGATTAAAAAGTAACATTTCCTTTATACTGTCTTTTTTTTTCTGAGACAGCTTGAAATTATTAAAAATTTATGGAACAATTATGGTGACATCGTGATACATTACACTTAAATAAGATCATTAACAGTAGTGACATAATAATAACAAAAGCCTGATATTTTGATAAAAATCATCTGAAACTTATTAAATGATATCAAATGTGCAAAATCAAGACAACCTATTCTTTTATTACTAAAAGAAAAGTATATTTGTCACTATAGAAATGGAATGAAAAACCCCAAATCCTGGTATTTAATGCAGGCTGTGGCTTTGGAAGCAGCTCTCCAGTCACTAGAAGGAGCTCTTTCCTCACACTATCCCATAACGTCTGTGGTCATAATACACATGACTTTAGTTCATGTTTAAAAACCCCCAAATTAACTAAAATAAAGCAAAGTTACACAGATCTAAGGAGGATGCTGGACAACCCTTAACGAAGTTTTGATGTGTAACTCACTGGGGCAGCTGTGAAGAGAGAGATATGTTTCAAGGAGCAAGGGGAGGAAAACCAAAAAAACCCAAACTCCTGTGCCTTTAGGCTGTATAAAACAGGCAGCATTAGCAAGGTCTGCTTCCTGTTCCAAACAGATCATTTTTATGAGGGAAAAAAGAATCACCAAAGTAATAAGGCATCAACATGACAAATTTCATCACGAAATTGAGTTACTCTGCTCGGTGAAAGCTGGGAGAGGGAGCACTATTTTTATGTATTTCATTACCATGGTGCTGCAGCAACGAAGCCAAAACAATGTAGAGGACAGCATACAAACCAAAGCAAAGCCAACAAAACTCCCTGAGAATTCTGCCTGTTTCTTCAAAGGGTTAAATGTTAATTTTTAATGAAATACCATAAAAGAACACGCATTCAGTATCCCAAGGACTGATAGAAAACAAGGGTAAGTGCTTTGGTCTCTTGAACATCTGGTTTAGATTTGTTTCTCTCCCTTGAGATAAAATATTATTTCCCCTAAAAACACATTTTTAACACATTTACACTGAATTTGTGGCATTTGATTTATTACAAAAAAACCCAAAACTTTTGACTTATTCAAAGGGATGGAGAAAAGCAACCTCCTGTTTCTCAATCTTACAGGTTGGTTCATCACAGCAAGGAGGACAATTAGCATTTATAGATTCTTGACCTCTTGGTTATGAGTTGCATTAACTGGGTTTATCTGGAGAGCTCAGCTCACTCATTTGAAATGCAGCTGCAGAAACAGGAAATGTCTTTGTCTTTAGAGATGGCTAAAAAACTAAAGGTGATCAGGACAAACTTCATCCCAAATCAAGACTTCATTCATTTTTATTAACACTGATGGCTCCAACAAAGAGAGCACTTGCAGTAAAAAGCAGTTTGTGGCTGGAGCTCAAAGACCCTCGATGGGACACAGGTAAAAAGGAAAGCATCTTTTCTGCTGAAGAATTTTCCTTATCATGTTCTTGCCTGTCTCCTTAATAAGTTTGAGCAACCTTCTCTGCTTTGATCTGTTACAAAAACTCAATTTCCACTTCACACGCTGAATTCTCTGTCAATAAAACCAAATTTCCCTGTTAGATTTAATAGATGAATTCATATATTGAGGTGTCAATCAGAACCTGCCATATTCCCAGCAGAATGGGGAAGGCAAGGTCTGTCTTTAGAGATGGCTAAAAAACTAAAGGTGATCAGGACAAACTTCATCCCAAATCAAGACTTCATTCATTTTTATTAACACTGATGAGGCCCTAACAAAGAGCACTTGCAGTAAAAAGCAGTTTGTGGCTGGAGCTCAAAGACCCTCGATGGGACACAGGTAAAAAGGAAAGCATCTTTTCTGCTGAAGAATTTTCCTTATCATGTTCTTGCCTGTCTCCTTAATAAGTTTGAGCAACCTTCTCTGGTTTGATCTGTTACAAAAACTCAATTTCCACTTCACACGCTGAATTCTCTGTCAATAAAACCAAATTTCCCTGTTAGATTTAATAGATGGAGTCAGAGATTCAGGTGTCTATCAGAGCCTGCCATATTCCCAGCAGAACAGGAAAGGCAGGGTATTTCAGTCTCTAAATCACACAACTGTAATTGGCAGTCATCAGTTTTGGCAACAACATGTTCTCACCATTTCACACTGCCAATCACCTTGGGTGGCTGTGGTGCCCCTAATAATTATCTATTATTGGCAGTGCTACACTGCTCAGTGGAGTGTGAGAGCTCATTCCAGGCTGAAGCCAAAACATTAAATACACATTAGTCTGGGCAGGCAGTGGAATGAAATTTCCACTGTAACTCTATCTGATTTCTGATTAGTTGGTGGAAACTGAGGGAAATACATATCAGCTAAGGAGCTTAGGCTTCCACTGCTGATTTTAGTCACTTATGGAAGTGGGATGCAAATCAACCTTCTTTTCTTTGTGTTTTAGCCACTAACTGACCGGCCAATAATTCTTAATTCCTTCTCTGAAAACTTTGGGGATGTGAACCACCCAAAATCACCACTTATTCATCAAATTCCTTTCACTTGACCTTGGAATAGGTTAGCCTTGGCCTAGAGGTAAAAGGAAAATGTCCCTTAAATCAAGTGATGTTACACTTCATCTTGGAAACACTTAAAAGTACAAATTGCCAAAGGCTGGAAATAAACTACAAATCTTTTGTGACATGCAGAGCCTCACAAATTTTAGAGCTTGTTACTTTTGATTTAGATGACAAGCTGCAAGGGAACAAAAAGGTATTTTCACCCTTACCTCTTTACTCCTGTTTGCCACAGAACACATGCAGGGATTCGTTAAAATGAGCATTTCTGGGAGTTACCTTTCTATACATTAATGCAATAAAAGTCCCTGTGCTGCTAGATCACACTGTCTGCTAATTGTATGGAAGTGGCATCCTCAATTCCATTCCCATGCCTTGCCAAAACAAAGCTAAACAGCACAGACTTTGATTTTATATTACAGCTTTTTCAAGTTTGCCAGTGCTATTATTTTAGAATTTGCCAAGTACAGTTCTGCAGTAAAACATTATAACCACGTAAATTACTCCCTTTTACATGTAAGTATAGATCATCCTCATTTTTTTGAACAAGATCTGTAAAAACAATCAGTGATTCATGCAGCAGTTCATTGCTACAGTGCCTTTTAATTAACATTTAATTTTCCAAACATAATGTCCTATGGAGTCACTGTTTTCAGCTCCTAATGTCTGCTAAAACACTAAGTCTCTCTCAAAGTGCAAGAATAATAATTTGAATGTAAAATGTTAAAACACAGCCTTTGTCTTCCCTTTTTTCAGTGCAGTCCTTTTGAAGAGTTACAATTGCCTCAACAGTTGGAGCCACAGACTGAACCTGGCACGGAGAGAAACCCTCTTGCTTCATGGCTCCAGTAAAAAACTGTTTCCATTTGACTGAGCTGCATTTTAAAATCTTCATTTTGTTCATAGCCAGATCACTGTGGACAGCTCCAAGCGTAATGAGCTGGTATCCTCTGGGTGCTGTGTGGTTTTTGGGGACAGGGAGCGGGGTGAGCCCATACAGGGCTCTATAGGACACCCAGAGATGTGGAGCAGTGACTCACTGCAAGCACAAAACTCACAAGAATCGTAGGCAGAGCTCCAAGAACCACCCTCACTGCATCAATCAGGGGCTCTGCAAAACTGTTTTTCAGAGAATGAAGTCAGAATATAAAAGTTTGTAGCTCATAAATCCACTGGGAAAAACAAACAATGGGTTTCAGCTGAGGCAGTGGCTGCAGGAGAGAAAGGACAATTCTACGCAAATTGTCAAGACCACCACACCCTGACCACACTAAAGGTGTGCAGTGGGCACCACAGGGAAGGCAGCAAGAGGGAACTGAGTTAGATTAATTAAAAATAAGGTGAATGAGCCCAGCTCAGTGGCACTGAGCCACACAAACCTCTCTGGGAGTAACCAGAGGTGTGAACTCCTCTGGGGTCCGTGCACACACAGACACTGAGCTAAAACCACCCCTGCAGCCCAGGCTGAGGGCTCCTGAGCCAGCTTCCCACCAGAGACTTCTCCAAGCTCTGCTTTCCTGGATGACCCAGATCTCGGAGCGCCTTACGTAATTACAGACTCACAACACACAAGTTCATTATTAGCTGAAAATTCAGATCTTGGGGCTTATAGATTGAGCAGCTGTAAACTGAAACAGGGCCCGTGTAAGTGAGATCCCTTGGAGGGATGGTTGTGGCAGCAGCTGTGCTAAGCTTGTCAGCAGGTGACACTGGATCTGTAATTCTTATGCTGCTTAGAATATGGTTGCTGTCACCTTAACATGACTTCATGCTGGGAACCAGGGGAGACAAGAGAAACAACCATTTGCAGTGGTCCTGTGCATAACAAGTTCTTTGACAGCCCACTGTTTGTCCTGCATAAGCTTTATCTGCCACTGGAGCAGTACAGAGACATTTTGTACACATCACTATCTACTGAAACAGCAAACCAGGACAAAACAAAAACTGTAAATATAGCAGATATTCTCTAACAGCAGCATCTTCCTGAAGCAGGCATTGGGTAGATGAAAAATAAAATTATATTTGCTTAAAATTAACAGAATTAAACTAAACAGCAGTTCCCTGAAGTGGAATTGGCAAGGACCTTCACTTCATTAATCTACTTGAGGAAAAAAGCAGCAGATTATTAAAATGGACACTAATGGTCCCAGGTTCTGCCTAATGTTTTTCTTAAGCCTCTCCATGGGCTTCCCAAGGTGCCCTGGACCAAAGAAATCATCTCCTGCGTGGGCAATGCACTCTCTGGATGCCCCTTGGAGGGCTGGCTTCCCTCCCACCACACTCACACAGTCATTAATTAATTCATTAATACAGAATTGCTGTGCTTTCACTTGCAGTCCTGCAGGGAGATGACCACATCCTCATATTTACATGTACACCAGAGCAAGTGCAGATCAAGACTGAATAAAATTAAGCCCATTATGTTGCAAAGCACAAGCCAAGTATTAAAAAAAGATTAGTCCAAGCAAAGATTTTATTATCTTTGTACTTCCTTTAAGCACAAGCCAAAAAGACTAGGTGAGTGTGCTGGTTCCAAACTGCAGAACAGATTACTTGAGAGGTGGCAGGAGGAAGAATAGAACAAATGTTATTACCTACAGAGAATTTTTCTCATTCTAGATATGAAATGTCACCAAAAGAACAGCCTGTGTAATGTTCATGAATCTCAATCTTAATGATGGACTGAAATGATAGTCTGTGTGTCAGAGAAAGCCAAACTGATCCCCTAAATCAAAGGAAAACTCAGTCCAGTGAAGACTTTCTTTGTGTTCATTTTGAAGGTCACAGGGGCTGTGCTGCCTTTTGGAAACTATAGATTTGAGCTCTGTTTGTTTGTTTGCTTGTTAAGGACTAAAACATTTCAGTCAAAATCTTTCAGTCAGACCTGTGCAGAGTTCTGCAGATTTGGATGTACATGTGTGCACCTAGACTGTTGCAGGCAGGATTTTTTTGGGAGAGTCCTGCACTTTGTGCTGGAGCTATTTTCATAGCAACCAGAGGGTACAGTATGTTCCCAAGTGCAATTTTTAGCAAAGCTTTCAAGCCAAACAGAATGTCCTTTGGCTGGCTGGAGTCAAAGCCTAACACAATAATGTGCATTTGTGAGGCAAAATCCTTCTTGAATGAGACAGAACCGGGAGCAGCTCGAGATTATTCACACTGAGTGTAAACTGTGGCAAAGGACAGAACTGCTGCCTTTCTGCTTCCATTTCCACTTCAGCTTCCCCCACACCTTTCCTTTGGGTTTGCACCTTTACTGCCAAATTAAGGAATTGCACACAAATCTGCAAAGCAACCCAGGAGTTCCAGGAGGTGTCCCCTGAAACCTTTGAGCAGGGACAACAGGCCCAGGGTTGGTCTCACAGACCTGGGGGCAAGAGAAATGCACTGGACCGGATCCAAATCCTTCTAGAAGCCAAAGGAATGATTCAGAGGATGAAAAAAGCTCCAGAATTAAAAAGGGGATTATGCTTGTAATGATAATGCACTTCACATCCACTTAGACTTGATTTAAAATAGTTCTTGCACTGATCCAGCAATGTTTAACCTCCTCAGGGATAAAAAATTATTTGGTTACCAAATAGAATGAGTTTCCCTTTGTGCTTCCACACAAAAAAATGAAGACATACTGGGCATTGACCAAGAAATTTTACCTTAAATGTTTCTAGTCAGATACTGATTGTCAATAAAATCAGTTCCAGTGATGGTGCTGCTATCAGCACCTTGTTCTGGCTGCTTTTGTACCAATTGTAAAAACCTCCCAGAGTTTCAGTCCTCATTTCTGGGTCACCAGCAACAATCATTTCACAGCCGGGCATTTCCTCAATATGCTGGCAAATGTTTCCAAAGGAAAATTCATCCAACTTTGCTGCAACACCACAAATTTTGTCCCTCAGCACAGGCTCAGTGGTGACCAGAAGGGACCTCCAAGGCCCCTGGATGTCAGCCAGGGCACAGGAGAAGTTTGACCTCATGGGTTTGTTAAGGTACCTGGGTTTCTGGTTGCAAGGATCAGTTCCATGATTCCAATGTAAGTTTAGCCTGGAGCAGAGCTGATGATTTATTCATTGCTTTGCTCAGGTGTGCCTGGGCTGAAATGGACCTGCTGAAACAGGTATGGGCATCTGGGTGATGCACCATGAGGGAAGCATCAGCTTTCCCGCAGTGCATCCCAGTCCAGGGGGACATTTTGTGACAGCACTTGTCTGCAGCATCTAAAATATACTTTATTTTAGGGACTGACAGTATGAAAAACAACATTTTGTTATTTCCTCATTAAAACAAAAACCTTACACTGTACTGCATATATCCTGTTTAATCTCTAGAGGGAAAAAAATGCAATTTTATTGCCAAAATAATTATAATTTGAGAAAAAAAAAATGTTTGCTTTGAGATATGCTTCTTGTAAATGACCTGGATGTGTTGCATCTGCACCAGGATTGCAATGAAGGATTAATGGATTGCAAGAAAGAGAGGTCTAAGTCCAACTCTATGTGTCATTTAATTGGTTTGTCATCTGCATCTGGAATTAAAAATAACTGCCTGAAAGCAACAAAATAATTTTATCAGTCAAAAAGATTGGGGTTACTTCCGTGGGTCAGCACTGCTGTCTTGAAAATAACCTCATTCCACAATGCATAAAAAAATATGTATTTATTAGTGAAGTATTCTGAGAGGAAAAGGCAAATTCACATAACCTGCTCCTTTCCCAACCCATGGTGTTTACTGTTTGACCATCACAGGCTCAGGGATGACAACACTGAGGGAAGCAAAAATGCTCCTAAAAGTGGGTTTCTTTGGGAAAAAAAAAATTATTAATCCAGCTTGACATCAGCAGCTCTTTACCCCTCAGCAGCCTGATCCTGGGAATTCTCAGGAGAATTTACAAAGGTTTTGATGCAATGACAATTTTTTGTCTTTTCTTTTTATACCTTTTATGTATCCTCAGTGCCCTTAGCATGCATACTTGTAATTCCTTAAGTCTGAAAACTTAACATAGTCCTGGTATCCCATTAAGCCAGAAAACCAAACGTCCTAAAGGCCTCACAGTTAGAGGCCAGAAAGCCCAACATTATCCTGAAAAAACAAGGTCTCCTCTTAAATATATACTGTAAACTAAGATTAAGTCCAGCCAGGAATAAATACGTCAAGATAAAAAGATGCCACTATTGTATTTGTAGGGACTCTCATGGTAGGGAGGAATGATGTATCTGACTCCATGTTTTCAGAAGGCTAATTTATTACTTTGTAATACTATATTATATTAAAGAATACTATACTACACTATACTAAAGAATACAGAAAGGATACTTACAGAATGCTAAAAAGATAATAATGAAAACTCCTAACTCTTTCCAGAGTCCTGACACAGCTTGGCCCTGATTGGCCAAAGAGTGAAAACAACTCACAGCAGAGTCCAATCAGACAATCACCTGTGGGTAAACAATCTCCAAACTCATTCCACATGCGCACAGCACAGAAAAAGCAAATGAGATAAGAATTGTTTTCCTTTTCCTCTGAGGCCCCTCAGTTTCCCAGGAGAAAAATCCTGGGCAAAGGGATTTTTCCAGAGAATGTGAATGCCACATACCACACTATTAATTCAAGCATCTCATTGAGGCATCTTTGTTAGATATGCTAATTTGCAAGGTCTATAAAATGGCATACATGATCTATCGTGTGTAGGCATTTCAGCATGCTCCACCTTGGTGAAGTGTTACACCACAAAAATCCTTACTAAATACCAAGACAAAAACCCTTTAACCCTTAACCATGCCTAGCTCTTCATTTTAGGACCAAGGATAAGGCATCAGTTTATTTGCTGTGTGCCAAGCAGGAATCAAATGCAAGGCCCCATCTACTGGGAGCGTGGATCGCGGCGGGATCGTGACAGGATCCCAGGAGGATTTCAGCAGGATCCCATCAAGATTTCAGCAGAATCCCAGCAGGGATTGCTCACCTGGGTGATGCAGGCGCCAGTGAAGGCCACGATGACGGCCACGATGTTGACGGTGAGCTGGAACTGCAGGAACTTGGAGATGCTGTCGTAGACGTTGCGGCCCCACATGACGGCCTTGACGATGCTGGTGAAGTTGTCATCTGTCAGGATGATGTCCGAGGCCTCCTTGGCCACATCTGTGCCCGCAATGCCCTGGGGAAAGGGGTTGGGAATGAGATTCCCTGCTGGACAGCACAAATCTCCATAGTCAAAGCTTTTTATGTTTCCTGGAATTTCACTAATTCGGCCAGGTTTTGATGTGAATTAGGCTGCAGAAAAGGGAATTGACAGAGAGCAGAGGAGTTCATGTGGTAATGGGTCTGAGTGTTTTATCAGCTTAAAGACTGCTGATCATCTGAACTATTTTTGTCATTGATGATGGTTTTTTATTATCCATGAACAGAACTGGTAACAAAAATAAGAATTATATGTCTTTATATAGTCAGAGTACGCATGGAAGACACCTTTCCAATTAGTGGTGGGTTTTACCACAGCAAAAGAGAACTCCAGTGTTGTGAAGAAAAAGTTCATTTTTCTGTATGGGCACAGGATTCTGCATAAAGCCAATAATTAATTAGACAAAATCCTGAAGAAGTATCAAAACAAGCAATGCCAGTGAATCCAAGTGAATTAAAGGATTCTGAGTCAACATAACTCATTCCCACCAATATATTCCTTCACTGACAAGTATTAACTAAGCAACTTCACATTCAATGAATGGAAAAGCCCTTACAGCAAATTCATAATGGCACAAACATCAAGATTATACCATTGCAAAGCCAACATCAGCTTTTTTAAGTGCTGGTCCATCGTTGGTTCCATCCCCAGTCACAGCTACCACCTGCCTCTGTTCCACCTGTGTGCTGTCAATAATACCTGCAAAAAATGTATGTATGGGTGTGTGTTTACAGACATTTATGGGCAATAATTAGCAAGATAAAACATCCCTGTAAAAAAGCAGGGTCTCTGTAATACAGATTGGATAACGCCACACAGTTTTACAGAGATTAAAAGGCAGATCTTTAAGGAAAATAACGATGAAAGCTGTGGCATCACCACCATCCACTACTAAACATCACCATTAGGATTTACATGGAAAGTTCTGATCCTGCATCATCAACACATCAATAAAACCTGCTCAGGCTTCAAAGGCAATGAGAGCAGCTCATTATGTCCTTCTGGCAGATTCCTGCTATTTAAAGTTTTGTGTCACAGCCCAGCACTGATCAAACATTGATGGAAAGGATTTGCCAAAAACTTAAGTTCATGTTTAGGGCTCTCCTGAACTGGGACCTAGCTGTAATATCACCTTAACTAAGAGGCCTTCTTAACCTAGAGATAACAAAAGCCATTGATGAATTTTATTCAGCTGGAGAATTTTAGCAGCCATGTTCAATTTTGCAAAACAATGATTAAGGAGATACAAACTAATTCTTTAAATTCTGGAACCAAACATTTTAATAAATAGATAGAATAAAATAATTTCTACTTTCATTTTGAGATCATTTGAGAGAAATAAAAACCACTTTTCACTTGGTGAATCAAGTTTTTCACACAACAAGGCTGCAGGGAATTATTTTCCACTTATGCAGAAAGTCAGGAAAATAATGAAGAATTTTTCAGAGGCTACAGAAGCAGCCCAGTTCTTTATAGGATGAAGATCATTTACCACTCATGTTTCCATTTCCATGTCAGGGTTCATTTGAGTACGAGTCCGGAACACAGGATTGTTGTGTAGGATACAAGAACACCTTTCCATATTGATAACTTACGGGAGGAAAATGACAGAATTCCTTTTGATAACACATTTTGCACAAAGTCGTTACCTCCAAAAACAATTATCCAAACCTACCCAGTGTGAAAAGCCTTCACTCTGCTCTGAAAAAAAAAATATCCTTCCCATATCAGATAACCAAGGAGAAATAGGAAATTGCAGATTACAGAGCAATAGCTGCCTCTTGGCAAGGTTCAGGCTTATCAGGCACCAGAAGATTGCAGTGCCCTGTGCAAGCAGTTAGTGCCCAGTATTTTTCAGAGTTATGAAAATGAGAAAAAAAAGCCCTATTCACTTTCTGCTGGTAGTATGATCTCAGAAAAATAGCAATTACTCTGATAAGATCTCACAATTAGAGTTTTCAGTTTGTTGGGGTGATTTGCCTTTGGTATTACTAAACAAACAGGAACATCATCTGTCACTACTGTTAAAAGCATTTACTTTGTCTTGTTATTAACACATCCTTTGATGTTAAATTAATAGTTTAAGCTTCTGAAAAAAAAAGCCATTAAAATCTCTGGCTCATTAAGGTATTAACTGCTCCAAAGAGGTCGATACTATCTGCTCACAACTGGGCTCCAAGTGGGAGCACAACCCAAATCAAGTTGAAGAGGCTCAAACAAATGATCTCCTAATAGAGATAAATGGATATAAATAGTGACTGTGCTGATGACTGTGCCACCAACTGCCCTCCCTCAGCCAGCTCCTGGGTGCTGCCAAGTCATTCACAAGGTTTAGGAGACATTTTTATCCCAAAATCCAAACTATGCAGCCAGGATGAGCCCAGAGCACAGAGCTGAATGCAGCCATGGAAAACCAGACATGAAAAGGTCTCAGGTATCATCAGCACCTGAGCCCCAGACCTTCCTGCAGTGCCACAGGAAATATGTGGAATTCTGGGGATGGATTTCAGTGCTACCCATGGAAGAGAGAAAGACTTTGCAAAGCTCCCATCTGTATGTCAGACAAATTTCTAAAATGGAGCATTATTTGGGATTCAGAGGATTTATCACAGCTCTGCCAACACTCCCTGATTCCTGCCTACTCTCTTTAATCTGTTCCTCCTCCCTGCTTCCTCCCATTGCTGCATGTTTGCCTTCTTCCCAGCACGTGCCTCTTTGCAAACACATTAAAGTTTGTTTTTAATATTCTGTTAACGACTGTGATAAGGTTTCACCTCAAGAATTCTCTTCAGTACTGAGAAATGTGCACAGATAAAACTCACAGTGTGAGGAGACCAAAGAGAAGAAGGATGCCCAGGAAGGGCTCTCCCTCTGAGCTGTGGGGATTAATCTCTGATGTGATCAGGGAAAAATGTGACTGAGGGCATGAGCTGACAGGCTGCCAGTAAAGAGAACATTCCCTGGCCTTTGCACTCAGTCCAAGTGGCTGAAAAGAAGCTCCAGTAATAATCAATCATGTCTAACAACCAGGAATTTTCTTCCAACTATACAGCTTTACTCCAGTTAAATGCTTACATACAGAATTTTAATAAAAACAGGTTTTCATGGGGAATTCTTCTGCTCTCAGCAAAGCTTCCTGCCAAAACAGCCTTTGCTCTTTCACTGGCCTCTTCCCTCATGTTGAGCTGTTTGGCCATGACTTTCTTCTGTCAGAAGGAATTTCATTCAACAGCCCCAGGAGCACACCTCGAGCAGAACATGACAGTGTGCTCCACACATGGATCCCACTGATGTGGCAGGAATTTGGGCAGGAAATTTGGGCAGGAATTTGTCCTGTGGCTTGCATAAGACACAAGTTTGTCAGAGCAAGCAGCTTGTGTCAGATGAGGGCAAAGATCAGATTTAAAACAACCACGCAGAGCTGTCAAGAAGGACTCTGAATGCATAAGCCTGCCACAAAAAGTACAAAACACAAGATACAAAACTGAAATATATCCTACATCTCCCACCTTCCTCCCATCTAACACTAAGCAAGCATTAAATCAAATCCATTCAGGATAATAACTCAGGGAATATCAGCCAACAATGTCTCCTCTGCAGCTGTGGCTCAGCTCAAACCCATCACAGCCAGCCCCAGCTTCTCCCTTTGTCACAGGACAAGTGTTGCTCTACTTAAACAACCCTTGCTCATCACCCTTAGAGTTGCATCAGTTAGAAACTCCTGGGAGAAAAAAAAAATCCTGGTTTAGAGATTTCTTTCTGCCTCTACTGCTTAAAACAGACAGAAAAATTCATCTCCAGTTGAGGATTTCAGAGCTGAAGCCCAGTTCAGGGTTAGAGAGGCAGCAAAGCTGATCCTCCCTCAGGATCACACAGATTTGTGTTTCTTTGACAAGCTAAACATAGGTACAGCCACGTATTTTCGTAAACACATCCTCTTCAGGTTAGTTTTTAATGCTTCCAAACTTCTGGAAGCTCCCTGTTAACGTAACAACAATTTGCGAAGTCTGTCTGAAGGATAAAGGTCAAATTTATTTCAGTTACATGCTTGGGTACCTGCCTGGATAGAAGTTTAAAGGTTTTTTATATAAAAATGTTCTATATGGCATTACAGACAGCATTGGAAATTAAGTGAAAATTCCTCCCCAAAGTTCACAATATCAATTAATACCATTTTCTGTATTTTGATTATTCTACCCATCTCACAGCTTTCCACATTAATGAGGTTATACACATACCACCATGCCATGAAAGAATAGTTGAAATATTTGAGTAATTAATGGTAATTGCTAAAAATCTTTTCTTCCTAAAGTTCCTCTTCTGTTTGATAACAAATTAGCCCTACTTGAGAATAGCTATTTTTAATATCATAAAAAATAATTCCAGTCTAATTTAAATATATTGGAAGGTGCCACTTCTTTAATTGGTTATCTGAGTATTTTTTTATCTTTTCTCTTCCTTCTGATGATATTTCTCATCAGTGTTAAACAGTTGTTTCCCACAGTATTTTTAAAAGATAAACTGACAATTTTGAATTATTTCAGCCATAACACTGTAACTTCACATCAGTACAAATTATATCTGATTTTATTTGTTATATTTTGAAATGGAGTTTAAAATATGAAATTTTAATTTTTATAAATAACAATATGAAATATGAAATTTTTAAAATATGAAAAGGTGTCTTAAAACCCATCCCAAACTGCATTTCAGTGAGACTGAGATTTTGGTTTCACTGAAGCAGTTTGTGATGATAAACCATTCTGATGGGTGTTTTTCCAATCTACCTCTACTTCAAAGCCATAAATATTTGACTGCAAGTGTCTGCCCAAGCTGAAATGCTGAACCATGTCTTTCTCTGGTCCCTGAGCAGTACTGAAAACAAAAGTGAAAAATAAAAATGATCCTTTTGCGGGGTGGGATTGTGCTATGTTAAGGGGAAAAAAGATTCCCTCCAGCAGCTGTATGTCATTAAAAATTAAATATAAAAAAAGTTTATTTTCTGATGTGTGTTTTTAGCCTAGAGCAGATAGAATACATCAAAGGGGAGAAAATCCTCTCAATCCCTCAAGTGTCTGAGAAAAACATAACATTTTAATAAGAGGCCCAAAACTAGTGAACATTTAAATAGTTTCTTGTAACTTTTAATGGCCCTTGGAGTATTACCAGCCAAAAAATTCCATCATGGTTTCCACAGACTTGTTCTTGAACTTTGTTAAGACACTTAATTGCTCTCTCGACCTTGTCACATCTTTAAAACATTAATTGTGGTACTTGCATGTGACATTCAGTAGGAGTAAATATCTTTTGGGCTCTCAAAGTGCTTATGCTACAAACCATCAACAATTTGCTGTTCCTTTTTTCTCCAGCTCTCTATTGATTTCAATTTCCCTGGCAAAGGTTTCCTGCTCCTCTTGAGGGAAAATCCTGAATGATTCAGACGAGCACTCCTGAGGGACTTGGTTAATCCACTTAATGAAACACAAATTATTGTGTTTCTGAAACAAATCAGCTGTTGGGCTGAACAAGGGCTGTTCTCTGAGAGCAGGATCCTGGAACACAGGGTTTGAGATGCACTGGTGAGGAGACTTCAGTTGACCTTGGGCAGGTCTAACAATGACCTGTGGAGAAAAAAATGCTCTCCAAACCTTTCCAATCCTGAAGAAACCCCTGCTGGGAAACTGTTTTGGAGCACACCTCCCCCAGAAATGTGTATTATTTATTAATTAATTGTTACGTTGTTAATATAGATACCGTCATACTAATAAATCGTGTACATTATAAGATATACATATAAAAGGGTGGGATGGAGATGATATATTTTGACTCCAGCTGCCCCATCCAGCACCATGTCAGAGTTCCCTGAAATGATCCATTTCCACCTGGTCTCAAGCCCGAAGGACCCACCTGATCCAGTCTTCAAATTCAAAATGAAACTTCTGCTCTAGAGTCATTTAGGCATTTTTAAAAATTGCATGATGCTTAAAAGCCTTTGCAATCAGTCATGTATGGAATCGTAGAAACAAAACCTAAAGGATTTCCTACCTAAATGTGGATTGCTATTGGAGTAGTCAACAGCTGAAAACAGGTATGTGATCAGCTGGATCTTAGCCTGAATTTTAGCCTCTCCAAGAATTGCTAAAAGGGGCTCTCCAGACTTTCCAGGGTCTTAGCAAAGCATCCCAGCTCTTTCTTCATCAGGAAACAGCAACCTGCTGTCAGGGCTTCTACCTGATCATGGCCAAAAACGATGTTATTCCTGCTCAGAAACTGCCTGATTTCACCAGCCGTGAAGCGTGAGCCTCCAAGTCAATGGAATAAGATGTCAAGTCATCAAGAGAATGAAGGAAATTGCAAACCAAACCATCTTTAAAGGGAGCATTCCATCTGCAGACAGTGTGGGGAAAGAATGGAGTTTGTATGGTGCACTTCCTACAGGGCAGATTGTAAAAGTACAGGAATCTAAAGGAAGCCAATGCAAATCACCCAGTTAGATTAACCTATAGGAAACATGGAATTGGCTGAAAATCTCCATATCCACTGGGCAGCTCCCAGCTCCACCATCCCAATAACTGCTGCTGTGACAGGAAAAGGTTTTTCCCTCTTGGAATACTCTTTAAGATAACTGTGGGAGAAGAGATGCACTGGACTGACTGGATTCACTCTGAATGAGATTGCTCTTGCTTTCCTCATAAAGCAGTGCAGGCAAAGACAAATAATCTATGTCCTCTCTTATTTATATCTTGTTTCCCAGCAATATTTTCTGTCTGCCCACCAAATGCACATTTTCCCTTCCCAGCTCGAGCCTCATTCCAATTAAAAGTCACAAGGCAAATATGAGATTGCCTAAATCCACTTGCCAGGCATCTTATTGCTATTTCTTTTATTCCTGCCAAGGAGTTTCCTATTATTTTCCATGTCAAGGCTGAGGTAGAACACAAACAAAAGAGTGCAAGAAAACTTCCTTGTGTTAAAGATGACAACCCAGGTGGATTTGTAACAGTGAAATCAAAGCAGATGATGTGCTTCAACACCTTTATCATTGATTTCCACCCCCCCACAAGCAGTTTGCACCCACCTTTCACCAAAGTGTGTTTGTCCGTGGGGGAAGAGCGAGCAAGCACCCGGAGCTTTGGCCAGATTTTGTCAATCCGCTCCTGCTCAATCTGCAGGGAGGGAACACAAAAAAAGAGCCCAAACAGTAAAACCCCCAGCCTGTGATGAGCAGAGTTTATGTTACTGTGTCAGAAAATTCCCCTCATTGCTCAAACCTGCAGCTTTTCTCCAAAGCATAGAAAAATTCCAGCAGTGATCCATGTTTCAAGTGAAGACAAGGCCAGTACTAACAGGGCTCAGCTGCTGGCTAACACAGGTAAATTTTTCCACAATACCTAACCAGCCTTTCTTATCATCTCTATGGATAATTCCACTCAGAATCACCACTCTAGATAAAGAATACTGGAGTTTCTCAAAGCTGATCAAATCTGTTCACAAGTTTGTTGTTCTACTCCACAGGAGAACCCAAATCCTTCATTTAGTACCAATAATGGCAAGATTTTCCTGTGCAGCAACAGGAACAAAGCCAAACTTGTTTCAGTTACTAACATTCCCAAGATTCCACCCATCCATGAAGGGAGAAAATGACTGTGTCCATTCATTTATGATGGACTTAAGAGCCAGCACAGATTTTTCTGTTTTAGAACAGTGTGTGAGCTCCATCTTTGATGAGGAGTTAAATTTCTTCCAAAGGATAGATTCTTTTTATGCAAATCATTGCTGTGAGTACATTAGAGAAAGTGAAATAAATTAAAGAAATGAGAGGAGCTGGTTCTCAGTACAGATTGTATTTTAGGAGAAAAATTGCTGTTGAGTTCCTTCTCCTTCTTGCCATAAACCTGCTTTAATGGTCTTCGTTTTGATTTCTTGTGGAGTAGTGCAGTGGTTCTAAAAACTGCAGAATTAGGCCTGCACTAAACTGATCTTGGAAGAGCAAAGACTGGAATTTCACCACTGCTTTGAATTACAAATAATTAGTGGGAGAAAAAGTAGGAATTTTTCCAAGAGGTCTTTACTGTTATGAGGCGCACAGCAGTGCAGGAGAATATTTTGGTGTTTTCACCGGGTTTTATTTACCTCTCCTTTCTCATTTCGGATCCTCCTGTTGAACTCCTTCCCCTCGAGACAGAGGAAGTCCTCTCCGGGGTGGATGATGCCACATTTGATGGCGATGGCACGCGCAGTGTTGATGTTGTCCCCGGTGACCATGCGCACGGTGATCCCGGCTCGCTGGCACTTCCGGATGGCTTCTGGCACCTGCAGAAGATGCCTTAACATTTTAGCTTTTGTATTTTTCAATTCCTGTACTGTAACTCTAAACTCCATATTGAGTGCTAGTTAACTGTCTTCATATTTTGGTCAGATGAAATTATTGATTACACATAGGTACTGCCATACAAAGAAATTGTGCACATTTTAAGATATACAACAATTCCTCTCTGTGTCTGGAACTCAAGGACACCTCACTGCCTCAGGCCCCAAAAAGTATAAACTAAAGTGAATTGGGAGAGCAAACTGGGGTAAATGACTTCATTACCTGCAGCTGGAATTGGAGCATTAACCCCTGATATGCGAATGTCCCAAACTGATAATTGTGTGAAAAACTCGTGCCCATCGCCCACCTTGGGTGCAGCCTCTGGAGGCTGTGGCTGCCCAAGCTGTGCCTGCTGAAGGCTTTCATAAATCCCCACTTTATTCTCCTGACCTTGCCTGGCCTCTGCTCTGGGGGCCCTTCCAAGGCATCACAAAAGCAAGGCAAGGGCAAAGAAAACTCCTGGATCAGAGGTAAAACACAAGGCAGGTGTTCCCATCCAGAAAAATTTCAGGCTAAGAAAGGCCTGAAGCAGGAAGAGGAATCAGAAGTGTTTTATCGTTGCTTGACTGTTGTGGAGTTGGGGTCCCTCCACCAGCAAGGCAAATCTTGTACAAGAAGTAAAAAAAAAATCTTTTAGATCAGTTCCTTCAACTTTCTCCTGGCTTGAATAAAAATGAGTGCTCTGCAGCTTTTTTGACTTTTAGCAAACTGAACATAACTACTCAGCAGGTGATGAATGGACAATACAAACATTCTGTACAGAAAATGGCTTTACTTCTGATCCAAGCCTTCCTTTCAACAAGTTTTGAAAAGTTATTGTGATTAATTCTTACTTATCAACAGGTATTGATATTTCTAAATACAGGTGTTTAAAATATATCAATTTCTAAATACAGGTGTTTAAAATTAATATATTACACATTTCAAAATCATTAAAATGAAGCCTGATTTTACTTATGCCTTTTCCTGCATGAGCTAAACTTCTGCTGCACAGGAAATGTATCAGGGAGAGAGATATATTCACGATATGACAGGGACTGTGAGATTAATGTAGGGGCTCCATTCTGACTTGGCATCATATACATATTATTTTAAAAAAATCAGGAATTAAAATAAAAGATTGATTCCTAATAATTAAATAAAGCTGGTTTAATGCAGTTACTTTGGTAAATTAAGGCTATAGAAAGGTTCCATGTCTACAGCTCAGTTTCAGATGGGGAAAAAAAATTCTGTTCCCTTAAACTACATCGAAATTAATTATAATTTCTAAGTAAATATCACTAACCAATTAATTCAGTCTCATCACATTTTTGCATTATTTTGCATTATTGTTATGAAAGCATTATTTCTTCAAGAGAAAACAGCAATATTATTTAAAGTGAGAGAATAAGGAATGTGTTTAACATATACAGAACAGCCTGGATGTCATTCTTCAGCACAGCACCACTTGTCTAAATTTCATTTTTACCTACAAGAGTCTAGAGCACCCCAGGATTCATCATGAAGGCTGAAGCCCTTCACAGAGCTACAGGGAAGTGAACTGCCCTACTCAGAAGATGGAAATGTACAATTATTAAAAAACATTTTAGAACCCCACAACTATTTAAGAAAGGGTATCAAAATGGATGTTACTGTCTGTGTTCAGTGCACCTTGCTGATCACACCCTCCAGCACAGATATAAATGTGTTGTGCAGCTCAATGCCAGTTTGAGAGGATTCATCTCATCCATTAGTGCAGAAAATGCTGAGAAAAGGAAACAGCACCTCAAACATTACACTGATAATTTTATGCATTTCTAGATATTTTCATTTCCTCTGCAGCCACAAGTAGGGGGACACAGATGAGGGTTTTTATGACAACCCTTGCCCTGAGCCTGTGTGGCAAACCTTGGGCTATAAGGGATTTCCTGGGGCCAGGAAGGCACTGAAAACCCTAAACCACTCCACCATACCATAGATAATGGTTCTCCCAAGCTGGAAATAATTTCACACCATGTTTGTGAATATTTATTAAAGGCATTTTGTGGAGTTCTTGTTTTCCAAAATGCCTCCCTAACCCAGCACCTTGTGAGGACCAGAGCGGCACTTTTCCCAGGATTTTCAGGAAAACCCCTCCACCCTGAGTGTGTCCACAGGACGTGCTGCTTGCAGGAATCTGTCAACACAGATCACAAAATCAAGGGCAGAATTCAGGGACAGAGCTTTATCTTCCCATTTCCTCACCACTAACTGGGAATATTTTCCCCACAAATTGTAAACTCTGGAAAAATTATTTCCACCTGAAGCCTTTTAGTGATGTGAAATAGGTTTCTACAGGGGAATATATGATCAGGTCCAGTCTGTTCCTTAAGCAAATGACCCCTGATCTCCCCAGTTTCCCCATTCATAATCCTGCCTAAATCCCATTTGTCAATTGGAAATGCTTTTGGTACCCACTTGGAGCTGTGGTGACCCTCATGCACAGGACAGGACAGATTTAGATGGAAATCTGGAAAACCAGCCCAATGGATGGACCGTGAAGGAGAAAAATAAATTACAGTGCAAGCAGCAAAAAAGGGTTATTCCCATGAAGGGTCAGTCCCATTGAACAAGGTCAGGGGAGGACAGCCCCAGTTGCAAACATGCCTCAAACTCACATCTAACTGGAGAAATCATCCTGTTTTCCTCTTCTGTCATTTTCTGGACAGCTGGTGGGTGGTATCTGATTTAATAGTGTGTACAGTAATTACAGTTAAAATATTGTTCATATTTTTTTTATTGCTGCAAGGGAGAAAGAGTGTTGGCAGACTGAGTGGGCAGAGGAAGCAGATATTTTCCATCAGTTTTGCAGAGCTTAAGTACACATTTCACAATTTTTTTGGTTTATTTTCCCTCTGCAAAGCAAAATTTCCAATGCAAGCACGCATGCACCAAGTATCCAACACAGGAATATCTTTCCCAATCAGGTGACAAATAAATAGGAGATATTTGGAAGGGATTTACGTTCATCTCCCAGAAATAACAGACTGGAGGCGTTTTCTGGCAGATCAGTGTGAGCCAGTTCAGGCTCATTAAAATCAAGCCAGAAAGAGTGTCAGGATCAACAGAGAATCTCTGCAGGAGAAGGGCATCACTCTGTTTGTTATCTTCCTGTGTATTTATCAAAGAAAAATAAAAAACACGCCCACAAAATATAAATATCAAGCAAGTACTTCAGTGCTTGCTAAATCCAGCAGCTGCTGATTAAGCTGGTGTCTGAATTAACCTGGGAATATGGAAAAGCCATGGGTGGCCATGGTGGGCATTCCAGGGAAAAACTCAATAGTTGCTGGACATCAGTGTTAAATAACTAATTTAAATTGTTTTTTTTTAGTGTGTGGGGGAGGTGTGAGTGCCAGAGAGCTCCCTCAGTATTCCAAGAATATCCGTGGAAGCAGGAGGGAGGAAGGAGTCCTCCAAAACAGCTGGTGTTCCCATGTGGGATCACTCCTGGGTGCACAGGAGCTGTGTCCCACAGGATCCATGGCACAGCCCGACACCCTCTCAGGGAAAAGGAGAATCCTGATTCTTCCCCAGAAAACACAGGAATGTAAATGAAGGGAAGGTAAAGGCTGTCAGGGCTGGGATATTACTTTTGGAATTCCCTGATTTATCACTTCCATCCAAATAAATCCAGACACCCGCTAATATTGAGAATATTGATAAAATAGCACTTTTAGTAAGAATTCTAATTTTTGTGTTCTTTTTTTTTTCCCCCTACAGAAAGCACTTTGAAAATGCATAAGCTCCTGTGGGGGGTCAACTTAATGAGCAGATTTCATTTTGGCAAAATATTCCCTATAACTGCACAATATCTTGCTATTTGCATCAGCAATGGGGATTTCACACATGCACATTATGATATTCCAACCAAGCCAGATATTCCAAACTTACAGAGTTTTCTGAACTTTATGTTTGTCTCCTGGCTCAGGGTTTATTGGTTCATTTATTTCCCCTAAGGTATTGCTTCTTATAATGTGCAAAGTAGTAATAATTTAAATATTGGTTTAAATATTTTCATGATGTTATTGCCACTTCAAAACAGTCAAAAGGGACAAGGTAGAAAAAAACAAAACCCAAGTCTCAAATCCCAAATGTCCAAAATTTGCTAAAATTCTGAAATTACAAACATTTTATCATGTGTCTTGCACTAAAGTAGAAATCTGCCTGTGTATTCTGGTGTTAACCTATGAGAAATTCAATACAATATTCAAGTGTTTATTTAGAAATAAGATGTTTTCCTGCCTTCATCTCTTTGATTCTTTACATAGAAGTCAGATCTGCCCTCTATTTTTAGCAGAATTATTCGCTTTTACCTCAAGCTCCAAAAAATTATTCCCTGCAAGATAAGAGCAGCTCTCTTACAAAACACCCTCCTCCCTCTTAACAATCACATGAAAGGAGAGTTTGCAGCTATTTTCCATAATAACTGCAAATCCCACTGCTCCCCAATCCCTCAGTCTGTCACACCACACGGAACCTGACTTAAAGCTGTTTTCTAATGTGGATCATGATTTAATTTAGGAGGGGAGAGGATTGATTCACAGTTCCAGTGGCCACTGACAAAATATTTCTGAAAATATCTATATTTTCTGCAAAATATTTTCTGCAAAATATCTGTATATTTGAGATGGAGCATTAAAGGAGCACTGCAGACAGAACTTCTAAAGGACATTTTCCAACATTTTGAAAGCCTTGCAATGTCAGGCGTGGGGACAGATGGATTAGCAGCAGGAGACCATCTGATGACAGATAAAGTGGATGCTGTTTATCTGCTCTTTGTGGAGATAAGGAGTTTATCATCCAGTTGTCACCTACACAAGATTTACTTTTTATTTTAACCTTCATATTGAGGGAAAAACCCAGTAAAATCCATTCTGAGGCAAGGCACCGTTGTGCAGTTGGTACCTGGGTTTGTGTCGTGCTAGTTCCAAAGTTACTGTCATCATTTTCAAACCCTAACATGGAATTAATAATTCTCCATTAATTATCAAGCACCAAAGAGAGAGATCAGAATTCTCCAACTCGACCCATTGTATTTCTGCAGGAATATAATTTAGAAGTGTAGAAGCAGGGGTGTGCTTCCCATGTGCACACCTACTACTGATTTATTCGAGTGAGTTGATCTGAAATTTGTACAAGCCAAGTGAATGTGATATCCATGACAACTGCAGACTTTCCTTCTTCAAATACAACATTAAAAACAAGTTTTCCTGAGTAGTCACCAGGTACAATATTAAGTAAAGTGACAACTATTACAATAAATGGAAAAAACCTCCAGTTTCTCTGGAAACTGTCATTATAATCATGGCAATTTTAATCACTGCACTTGTCTTCCCTTCTTTCAGAGTTGTACATCACTGCATTGCTTAAAGGAAAATTCTTTAATGTGTGGGAGCATTACAAAACCTCTGCTGATCATCTCAGTTCTGCAGTGCAAAAAGCCCTATATTACTTTATTTAAATATAGTTGAATTTTATCATGTTATTTGGCTTTTTTATTGATAAAACCCATTTCTAAAGCTGATTTTCAGCTTCTTTTAAAGAGCTAATTAAAAAAAAAGGGATAAAACCTTTAAGAAACCTGCCATTCAGATCATGTCCAGCTTTACATAAGATAAAAATTGGACGTACCTCTGGCCTTACTGGGTCTTCAATGCCAACGACACAGATGCAAGTCAGGTCGGATAAGATGTCGTTCTCGTTGTCCCAGTCAGGCTCGGGGCTGCTGGGGAAGTCTCTGAAGGCCACACAGATGGTTCTCAGCCCATCACAGGCCATGGGCTCAATCACTTTCTTCACCATCTCGTCCCTGTCGCGGGGCCTGAAGATGCGCGGTTCCCCAGCCGCGTTGAGGATCCTGGAACACCTGGTTTGGGCAGGGAAAAGAGAGTAAAAACTGAGTGCAATGCCTTAGCATTTTAGCTTGTGTGTTTTCCATGTATTTGTACTCCTGCAGTTCTTTAGTGTAGAACTTCAAACTCCCATTTGCAGCTTTCCCATTTTGGGCAGACACAACAATTCCTCTCCAGGCCTGGCAGTCAAGGACACCTCACTGCCTCAGGCCCCAGAGATGGGAACAAAAGGGACTTGGGGGAGCAAACTTGGGGTAAATGACTTCATTACCTGGGGCTGGAATTGGCAGATTCATCCCCAATGTGCAAATGGACCAAACTTATAAAAGTATAAAAACCCATGACCCATCATTCATTTTGGGTGTAGGCCCTAGGGGGATTCATCTGTCCAAAATGCACCTGAAGACCCTTCAATAAATAGAACTGCTTTTCATTCCCTTAATTCTGACTGGCTTCTGTTTTTAGGTAGCCCTAAAAACGCATCAAGTGTGCATCTGCATGTCTGTCAAAGTATTTCCTGTATAAGCTCATTTCAGTCAATTATTTCCTCTTCTGATGTCAGGTTTTAAGTTTCTAATGTAAATTTCTAGAAGATTCTCTACTGAAATATCAGAGAGAATTTGTAACTTATTGCACAGACACCAAGAGCCCTTCATGCATTACTTTCTCAATAATCAATGAGCTGGCAGCTTACAGTGAAGCTGAAAAGTGCTTATTTTCCAAATGGGTTGAACGTAAAGAATCCATTTGTAAATTACCTAAAGCAGACCCAATTCTTTGGTAAGGGAAACAAGCCAATTTCCCAGAAGCACTTAAAAAAATTAAAATAAAATAATAGCAGCTCATGCTGCTAAGGTATGTCACATTCCTAGTGCAGGCAGCAAAGTCCAAACACCACAATTCCCATGTTTTAGTGTCAGCATGCTTTGAATTTTGGAAAAATGAGGCCAGGGATGCAATGCACTCACTTCTTGAGAACAATCTCGGAGGCTCCTTTGCTGTACATGCGGAAGCTGCCGTCTGGCATTTTAATGACCGTGCTCATGGACTTCCTCACGGAGTTGAAGGTGTAAACCTTGTAGAGCTTCTCCTCAGGGATGAGGCTGCGGACGGGCTCGTAATCCTGCTTCAGATCCAGGACAAACCCCAAGAGCCCACACTCCGTCTTGTTGCCCACCTGGCGAGGCAGCCCGCCCTCTTTTTCTGGTGGCTGGAGACAGAAGTGAAAAAAAAAACTGGGGATTAATTTCTCTAATTTCTCTGACTTCACAATTCCTAATTTAATATCTGAGCTGTGCAGCCACGAGTTTTTCAGTTTTTAAAAGTGAGGTAAAAATTCCATGGAGCTCCAACAGACCTGAAGTATCTCCTCACAAGGAGAAACATTTCTCTAGACAATATTTGCCACATTTGGTCTCTTGCATTTCTTTTTTTCTTAATATAGCCATTGGCAGCTTGTGGTGGTTGGGCAATCCATGAAAAAGGAAGTAACTTTCCTTAGGCTGAAAACCAAGCAATTTTCACTTGTCACAAACAGAGGATATCTCTTGCTTAGCATTCCATTGGTTTTCACAGCTTAAAAAGTGAGTTAAAGAAAGCTCTATCTTTTTTTTTTTTCCTGTGAGGCATTTTTAGTATAAAAATAAATCTCTATCCAACTATAACAACAAATCTCAGTGAAAAAAAATCTATAAAATAATAGTCCTGTATCTAAATGTACCCGTTTCTAGAATTACTTTAGTCTGCCACTTCAGACAAATAAATTCTATGTATGTTAGAGAAAATGGAGTAGGCTGAACACTGTGCAACTTCTACCAATTCTTAGTCCTTCTGAAGGAGAGAAGGAAGGACAAGGAAGACTTTAAATTCCCTTTCAAAACAGAAATAAACACTTTTTTACAAACTTTCTTGGGAGTGTTGTAAACCCCTAACAAAATATTCCTGTGCCAGACCCCAGACTTCAAGTGGCCAATGTGTGAACTATAAACCATTGGTAACTTATATTTTTTTTTATGCTCAGTAGAATTAAAAAGTGTTCCTTAAGCCAGGGCTAAACTTCCCTTATGGGAATAAAAACAGGAAATCATTTCACAGCTTTAGTTTGCACTGAAAACAGATTTTGTTTTGGCTCAAGCCATGACTGTAAGTCACCATTTTCAATGTGAGTTAAATGTTTACCTCACATTTTGCAGAAATAGGACTGCAGGACTGTATTCAGAATCCTTGTTTAATTCCACTTTCAAATCCAGTTTACTTCAGCAATGGGATTCCTAATAGACGGAATTTCCTACACTGTCCCTCACTGGGATGAGGGCACACAAAGAGAATGCTTAAAGCTGCAAATCAGCCATCCTACTGCATTTGAATTCTTCCAAGAAGTATGGCCACAAAAAGGGGAAAGGGAGCCTTTTAAGTGAGCATTAGTAATTAATTATCCCAGTAAACAACCAATTGCAGCTGGTTTAAAAAATGAAGGTCAGATAGATAACAGACTGGTCTAGAACTGAAGCACACAATATTAATTTTTCCAAAAGAATCATTTCCCTACCAGCAGGAAGACTGATACCTGGTGACAGGTAGATTAATGTCTTTTTTGAGAAGCAGCTACAAAAAACAACACAGAATAACCCAGAAATCTCTGTCTGAAAGAGATTTATCTGTCCAAAAAGGATAGTAACATCTTTCTTTTATGTGAACCATCATTTTTACTGACTAATATGGGTCACTCTGGTGTTGCTGTGACATTTTAACATCACTCCAGGGTCACTGTAAAACACTGACATTCAGCAAAAATGCCAGTGAGATACATTAATTTTATTACCTGTTATAACAACTTGTCCTTCTGTAACCTCATTACACTGTGATGTAACTTCCCTCTGGATTCTCAAATTCATTTAAGAATCCCTAATTCAAAATGGAAGTGCTCATAGTCAGGTGTATCTGGAATCCAGTGGAGTAAAAAAATACCTTTTAAAATCCAGTTTTGTTTACTTAAATAAGCTTTGTTTTCCTGGCATTGCAGGCACAGGGTTCCTGAAATCCGCCAGAAACTTCAGGTTTCTCAAAGCAACAGAGGAAAGCCAACTTCAGTGCCTGGGTAGTGATGGGTGCCAGGGAAGATCCATTCCTCTGGGCATATTAAATCCAACTCCTCTCATTTTAGATCTAAATCCTCATTTATTCTTCTCTTTGCCACTGAACGCAATGAAAATTGTCATTGAATTAAATGTGAATGTGGCCAGGCCACTGGAACTCTCCTGGACCCCAAAGAAAGCCAAAGTTTTCCATCAAAGTCAGCCAGTTCTAGAAAATAATTAATTTATAGATATGATTTCATCATGCCGTGATGCCAATGGAAATGAAGAAAACAAAAACCTGCCCACACTCTCAACATAAAAACCCAACCATCAGAGTCCTTCCAAAATCACCTTTATTTCAACAAAAAGTAGATCACACTCCCCTGTTCTTACTGCAGCCTAAAAATAGATTTCTTTCAGGGAACATCTTTTGAATGCAAATACGTAAGCAAGGGGGGGAAAAAAATCCTCATGAAAAGAAAAGGAACAGACACTTCGGAAAGGTTTCAGAATCTAACAAGTGGCCACCTCCCTGCAGAGCAGCTGCTGTCTCCATATTCTTTGTGCATTACATTAGGGGCAAGCATATGGTGCTGAGAGCTGGCACGGAGCACTTCCTTCCCTGCACTGTTCCAGCTCAAAATCTATATGCCAGGAGCAGCCTCCTTGCAGATTGTTCTTGACAATCCCTTGGAGAAGCTGCTGCCTCTGAAACTTCCTGCTGGGCTGGAGCTAAATTTATTTCTCACTGAATTCTGCGGTTCATGGCACCTGGAAAACAAGGACAGCCCGATGGGGTTACTCTGGAAGGATTCGTTGGGAGCAGCTTCAGTGACCCCTCAGAGGATGGAACTCATGCCTTAGGATTTTAGCTTGTGTGTTTTCCATCTCTTTGTACCCCTGCAGTTCTTTAGTGTAGAACTCCAAACCCCACACACAGGGGCAGCTGCAGCTTTCCCAGTTTGGGCAGACACAACAATTCCTCTCCAGGCCTGGCAATCAAGGACACCTCACGATGGGAACAAAAGGGACTTGGGGGAGCAAACCTGGGGTCAATGACTTCATTACCTGGAGCTGGAATGGGCAGATGAACCCCCAATGTGCAAACGGACCAAACTTATAAAAATGTAAAAACCCCTCATCCGTGGTTGATTTTTGGGTGTAGGCCCTGGGGGATTTCATCTGCCTGAAATGTACCTGAAGGCCCTTCAATAAACAGAACTGCTTTTTCTTCCCTTAGTTTTGTCTGGCCTCTGTTTTTAGGTAGTCCCAAAAAGGCATCATAACCCTTGGAAGAGGGCAGAGGGAAAGGCTTTGAGCTGAGATTTACCACAGGGAGCTCCAGCAAGGACCTTCTGCTCCCCACAGGTCACCTGCGTAAAACCCCTGATCCATGGTTGATTTTTGGGTGTAGGCCCTGGGGGATTTCATCTGCCTGAAATGTACCTGAAGGCCCCTCAATAAATATAACTGCTTTTTCTTCCCTTAGTTTTGTCTGGCTTCTGTTTTTAGGTAGTCCCAAAAAGGCATCATAACCCTTGGAAGAGGGCAGAGGGAAAGGCTTTGAGCTGAGACTTACCACAGGGAGCTCCAGCAAAGACCTTCTGCTCCCCACAGGACACCTGCAATCTGTTCCATCACCTGCTTGGAAGGGACTGAGCCAGGATCTTCCCCCAGTCATGACCCTTGCAAAATTTTTTCAAACATCTCTCCCGAGCATTTGGATTATTTACCCACAACATTTCAATTGCAAACAGCTACTCACATGCAGAAGAACCCCCAGACAGATGTTTAAACAGCCCTGGTTACACCCAGCAGATCAAAATAGGTTTCTAGGTCAAACTACAGCTGCATTACCAGGGCTTAAAAATACCAATGCAAAGCCAGTATTGACCTGATACTGAGTTTGGATTACAAAGGGAATTTTCAGAATTGTTGCACTGGAAAATAATTGACTAATAAAAGGTTTTAAGAAGAAAGATAACATTCTGTGCATAATTTAAAGATGTGCTCCAACTTGTAAAATTAGATTAGAAAATAATTTCCGTTTTTGTCCTAACTCTTTACTAAACCTCCTTTTTCTCACTGCCCCTTCTCTGCAGGAAGACCAAGAAGTCCTTCTACATTAAAATGTGAGGATTTTCCATATTATCTGAAGTCCTAATTTGTTGTATGTAACTCTTCTGTGTTCTACGGATTGAACTACTCCTTTAGAATAACAATGACATTAAATATTCTAATTTATTAACATGAAAAATGAGCTTTGCTAGAATACCATATCACTATTGAGTGTTCTACTTCAACCCAGCATCTCAACAGGAAAACAGAGGAAAACAAAAACATTTTAAAATGAAATTGCAAAAGATTTCCATTTCATACTCTAATTACTCAAACAAAAGAAAATGGATCAGGATGCACAGGAATTTTTCTCAGTATAATTAAACATGTTGTATATAAAATTTAAAATAACCAACAAGGATGAATGCTGTTCAAACCACGTGATATTTTTATTTTTGAATTCCTGATACTGCCAAAAGTAGTACTAAAGAACTGTGGTCCTATCCCTTGCTACATAATTTTAATCAATACTTTAAGGTAAGACAACTAAAGCAAGAATAAAACATCACAATTTATAACCAAATGTTCCAGCTTTTTGCGGTTACAGCTTCCTTCAACTGACTTCAAGCTAAAACAACAGAGATTTTGCCTGTTTATCTTAGAGAAAAGCTGCAAAATGAAAGGGGTGAGTCTTTTTTAGCCAAGGATTTGCTTGACTAAATAAAGTTTCCCATTACAAAATGGGAAATGGTTCCAGAAGCTCTGCTGGCAAGAGGATGGCAGTGAAATACCAGCCCTCAGCTGGTTTAGAATCTGTGTTTAGAATTTCTCTGGGATTGTGGAGCCAGAGCAATGGTTTAACCCCAGCTAGAAACCAAAAACGGAGCCTCTTTGCTCACTACCCCTTCCCCCTGAGATGGCATGGGGAGAAAAATCAGAAATACATCAATCCCTGGACTGAGATAAGAGCAGATTCCCTACAAACACCTGGCAGCAGCTGTGCACCCTTAAAATCCTGTGAATTTATTTCCACAAGGTCTCTATGTAGGAATAAAATCAGCTTTTCTGTCTGTGT